TGGCTGCTGCTGCTGAGCGTACGGAGAAGGAGCACCCGCGAAGCCAGAATGCCGCGCGAGGCTATCTTCCATCATCCGATCAAAGATCGTCCGTGCGCGCACAAACGTCTCGTTCATCGAAACAAGTCCGCTGCATCAATCTCAGTCTCGATCCGAGGAGCAAAGTGGAAGAACCGCACCCCGTTCTGGCTGTACTTGTCAATCAACTTGACAATCTTCGGCCGCAGCGCCATACAGCTCCGATACAGCTCCTGCAGCTCCTCGTCGTCCGCCAGATTGTCGCCCTTGCTCGGATCCAGGGCCCTGAGCATGTTCAGCAGTTTCTCCACATTCACCGCCTGCGCAAACACGCTGGCTTCGGCTGCAGCTTCTGACGCCAGCTCGGAGGGCGTCGGTTCGGGTAGCGCTTCGACGTAATTAACGGGGAAGATGCCCGTGCGGCCCTTGAGCTGTCCGCGCCACCAATCACGGTAGCCCCGATCCACGACCTTGATGATGTCGCCCTTTTCGAACGGCAGCTCCCCCGGCTCCGTGGGCGCGAACGGGTGCAGCGCCCGGACGCGCGTGACAATGCTGCTCGGGTCAGTGAGCGAGGGAGTCGTCGACGTCGCCGTTGGCGTGGCCGTTGCCGTCGTCGCGGTCGCTGTCGTCGCTGTCGAGGCGGCCGCTGGCGCACCTATGGCAGTAGCAGTTGGGCTGATGGAGCGGGTAGAATTTGACGCCGAAGCTGCGGAATACCCCGTCGCCGCCGCAGCCGCCGAATATCCAGCTGCAGCCGAGTATCCCGACCCTGGCCCTGGGCTAGAACCGTAGCCGTTGACGGCACTCGACGATGCCCCGCTTCCGCTGGCGCCTGCACCGTGTTCGTGTTGTTGCTTGTGTTCGCATTGCTGCTGCTGCCCCACTGCCGGCCGCCGCGGTCGTTCATGCTCAGCTCGAGCACCCGCTGGAGCTCCTCCTCCTCGCGCCGCCGCACGGCGTCGTCGACCGCAGGAGGCGGCGCCGTCTCGGGCTCCACATACCGGTAATCTGAGTTCCGTCAGCGCAGTCGGCAGGCATATCGAGCACTTCGATAAACGCACTCTTCGCTTTGAGATTCTCGTAGCATTCCTGCATGATTCCAGCGTGCTGTCGTGCGCGAACTCTTCTGCCCACTGTGCGACGAGCTGCAGCGCGCGGGTGCGGACCTTCTCGTGTGTATTCTGCGAGCCAGTGAGCGAATCAATGGAGTGAGAAAGGCAGCTATCGCCTCACCCGATCAGTGACGACGCGCTCGAGCCCAGCCGTCCACGCCCGCCCGGCAAGCTCGCGCCAGACCTCAATCCCGCAGTTCTTCTGGAGCGCCTCGGCGAGCGCGAGCGTGTAGAGCTGCACGTTGGGGTTCCGGTGCGTCAGGCGCTTGAGGAGGGAGGCGATGACGAGCTGCGCGCCGGTCGAGGGCGGGGATGCGGAGGAGACGGTGTCGCAGAGCGAGAGGATGAGGTCCCAGGGCTCTGAGGTCAGCGTCTCGGCCGTTGCGTTGGCTGCGTGGGTTTTTGTTAGATAGGCAAATGCATTGGAGCCGGGGCAAGAGAGGGAGCCAGGAATGGAGTGAGGGGAGTCAGGATGGAGAGCAGGATGAGAGAGGGCGGAGAACGAGTGACTGCTGCAGCGATGACCACTCACTGACGGTCTCATCGTATGGATTCGTCGCGGCGCCCCCAAACATGGCAACAGTCGAAGTAGTTAGAGAGATGGGTAGCCGAAGGGATAGTTTTGGTACAAGCAATCAGAGTGGGTGATATGCCCAATGGACCCTTCGACTCCCACTGATGGATACAGATGAGGGATACAGACGAGGCTCGCTGCGCCGGATCGGCTCGATTCCGAGGCTGTGGACGTCACAATCGTCACATCGTCACTCTTGACCCACACGGCGGTTGCCCAATCCACTCTCATCTCACATCCACATCCATCCACAATCCAATGGCCAAGGGTATGTCAGCTTTTCGAGTTTACCATCGCGCGCGTCTGCGCTTTCTCGTAGTAGCCTCGCGCCGCGTCCTCTCTTTGGATCTCAACGCAAAGACTGATTGGCTGACTGCACCGATCTACAGTCCCACGCAACTTCCGCCTGCTGGAGGAGCTCGAGAAGGGCGAGAAAGGCATCGGCGATGGGTCGTGTTCGTATGGGCTCGAGGATGGCGACGACATCATGATGAGCCACTGGAACGGGACGATCATCGGTCCGGGGCATGTGCGTTCTGTGCTGTACCGCGCGAGGCGCTGTCGAACCGCCGCTGACCTGACCTCCTTCTCCCGCTGCCCGCCAACAGACGGTGCACGAGAACCGCATCTACTCCCTCAAGATCACGTGTGGCGAGAGCTATCCGGAGGCGCCGCCGACCGTGCAGGTGTGTGTTTGTCCCGGCTGCTTGTCTTCGATCGTGTACGAACTTCGAAGCCTGATTCGCGCGCGCCAGTTCCTCTCCCGCGTGAACCTGCCCTTCGTCTCGCAGACCGACGGTGTCGTGAACCCCGCACAGCTCCCCGTGCTCGCGTACTGGAACCGCAACGGGAGCATAGAGACGGTCTTGGTCGAGATCCGGAGGTGAGCTATCACTCTCGTCTGCCTTGTCCGTTATATTGTATTGTCATATGTCCCTCCACCTCGATGCTGTCTCCGAGTATGTGACTGACCCTCGTCATCACGCAGGGAAATGGCCTCTCCCGCGAACCGCAAGCTTCCCCAGCCACCCGAGGGAAGCATGTTCTAGAGAGTCTGAGGATTCTTTGGGACCTGAGGATGAATGTACGAAACCCATGTATGAGTAATACGAATCCGACACTTGGGGGCAATTTGCCTACTTGATCGCCTTCAGCCGTCTTCTTGATAACATAGGCACGAGTCATAAACTTGATGGTGAAGCACATGCATTCATTCAGCGGACTGCATTATTAACGCCCCTTGAAATCCGTTTTCTTTACTTGTGACTTTCATTGGTGCAACTGGAAAGGGTCCTCGCTCGTCTTTTTTCTAGAGACCTGATATAGGATCACTGTCGATGGAAGCTGACATCAAATGCTACAGTATTCAACATTTGGACTTGTGATGATGTTCTCCCCAAGCTGCCGCACGTGAAATCGACGACGGTCATTTTATCTTTGGCGGCTTGATACTATCCTTGGGTAGAGCGCGATGGGGTTTGATATCGCGAAAAAAAAAACATTGACAGGCAACGATGTATTATATACGTATGAGTCTCTATCGCCCTGCCTTTCCTTCGACGAATTGATCTACAGAACAAGTTCAGCTCTCGCTGCATCTCGAAACTGAACATGGGGCTTATCGATAATCAGTGCACATGCGCGATTATTGTGATCGACTCGGGTGTTCCGCCTGGCTTCAGCCGAAGGCAGAAAGCGGCCGTCGTCCTTGATTCGGCAAGACATCACAGGTAATGGTCGAGTGCAGAGGTGGGATGATGGCCAGCACCCCTCGAACAAACCCAAGCAAGTCATCAATGTCAACCGCGGCAGGAAAATGAGTCCAAAACTGTACGACCTGTCGCTTGACGGTTCGAAAAATCGGCCTTTGACTTTTGCACCGTTGTTACATTCCATTGATACTATTCGGACGTAGGGGTGAGCCTTTCTAAACACCAAATTTGTGCAATATCGGGCGGAGGCGCAGTCAAATTGCCCCCCCATATATTCTAACGAAATTCAGGTTGTTCAGCTCTCCGTCCGAGGGACTGAAAACGTTCAATCTGCTGTGCCAATGACGGGACTGTAAGACAAGGGTGAATGCTTTCAGAGCAGAGGTTAAGTATTCTGTTCGTCGTGTAAAGTTCGGAATTGACGACGTGGAAATAATTCCTCAAACACGGCCGCCTTAAAGGGCCCATTCTAGACAGATTTTACTGTGGCTGGACTCTTTTGATTTCGAGGTGAAAAAATCACTTGTCATAGAAAACAGGGATAACTTGACTCCAGGAAATAGGACGCACATGCGGACACTACCTTATTTCTAACATGGTCGTTCGACCAGATCCAACTCGGTCGCACTCGTCACTTATTTCGGGGATTATCACGTGTGCCGTTCAGACCCTGCTCAAACAGCGTGGGACGACGTCAAGAGTGATTTCTCGCCTCGAGGACAACAGAAATATCAGAATTCTGACAGCAGAAGCATTTGGGCATTGTTCTCTACTGGGACCTACAACAGCCTACAACGCGCATTCTCACATTCTGTCGTTGTTCGCTCATCTAGCAGCGCTTCTTGCTCTTCAAGGGGTAGGGAAGAAACAACAAACGATGTGAAAGCTTTCGTGGGTGATACAACACAGTGTTGAACCCACAGCACACAGCACATCATCAGAGCAAAATTGTGATCGGATCAAGCTCTGGTTTCCTCTGAAGGCTGCCAACAACATCTCGCTTCGCTTGTCGGTGACAATCCCAGCGGGAAATTGGGTGACGAATATGTCCCCCTTAAACGTGTTCCGAGACCAACCCGGCGGCAGAATATCGTCGTACGCGATCCAACCGTCAGGTGTAGGTCCACGTCTTAGTATGGAACAATAGACCTCTTGTTCTCGTTGACAGGTCGTATCAGCGATCGAGCCCCCGGGTTGCGAACACTCTCGTATAACTAGTTCAGGTATGTGCGTCGTCACCATCTCTGGACGCCACGACTCGATTTTTCGTGTTGTTTTGCGGTCGTGTCTCACCGGCCCTTCTCTCGTTATTCCCCAAACGGCCTGTTCTGAGATGCGGTGAGGATTATTGTCTTGTCTCAGTTGTGGGCGCTCATTTATGGTCCCCAGATTCGTTTCCTTTCTCCACTTTTTCGTTGTTCCCCTAGTTCTCTTCCGATCAGTGTGGTCTCAAACCACCTTCCATTCCATCCCCGGTAATGGTTTGAATGGATTTTTTCTAAGGTTCGTCGATGTGGTTTACAAAATATATGTTGCTGAAACATAACAGCCCGCCTTCGACGACTGATATCAGCACCACCACTATCCTTGCGACTGTTACAATCGCTCCATCTACCACACCGTGGGTTAAGCATCTTGCTGTTCAAACGGCACTCTAACTTAGTCCTCAGAATGCCCTGTACCGCTCTCCAGACTCCTAGCCCCAGCTCAAGTTATGCGACCCTGTCGTGAGTACGCTCGATTGCCGCCTGTACCAAAGCCAATTCATGTCCTTGTAGATCGCAGTCAACATCCCTCGCTGAGACCATTCGTGAGTTTCAGACCACTCCGCGGCAGCGCCGCTTGGAGCTCATCCTCGGTCTCGCCTTCGGCATCTCTTCTTTCGGCGTTTTTTGGGCCGTCGTATTTCTCCGGCTGAGAGCGCCAGAGCTGTTGCGACGGAACTCGACTTTCGTTATCGATCCGGAACTCGGAGCGCCCGACAACAAATTCGATCACCTGAAAATCACCTCTGGTCTACCGAATTCGGCGGCTGAACATACAAACATGGACGCTCTCGTCCTTTACAGGCTGCAAGTCGCTCAGCTCCAGATTCAGAACCGCACTCTGAAAAGAGAGCATGAGTTGCTCAAGCAGACGCTTCAGACGGGTGCAGAGAGTTTGCGTGCTGAATTGGCGGGGGCATCGGGCTTGATGACTTTCTCGAAGGGAGTTGGGTATCCCTTGCGGAGCACCGACGCGAAGCGTGATGCGCTCAGCCTCGCGAATTTGGACGCTGACACGGAAGACCAAGATGCACCTCCAGAGTACAAGGCCAGACAAAGCATTCCTGCCGCTCCATCTTTGAAAAAGTCGAAATCTCACCTGTCTCGAGGGCACTAAAGCTCCGTGGTATATTCGGCTTTCCAATTTCTGTCTGGGAATTTATATTATCTTTGCTTGTGCTTTTTGCATTGCCATAATAGATATATGACCCATCGTGATTCAATTCTATAGGGCGCACCTCCCCACATGTATCCATACTTGCTGTCAATTGAAATACGTCCAAAAGAAGCCCCAATGTTTCGTTCTTGCGCTGATCGGTTGTCATGGCGGAGTTTGATATGGAGAGCGGGGTTTGATTTTCCTGTGATCTAGTGCAGATTCCCCATAGACAATCAATCCTTCCCATTCTCATCCTTCTGAAATTCGCGCGTCTTCCCCGCCCAGAGACGTGCAAGACGCGTCGCGGCACTATCCATCCTTGTTTCCAACCCGACCTGCCAAGGAACCGTCCCCGACGGCCCGACTTGCCTTCCTCTATTTCGATTGGCTCGTTTCGAAATACTTCCGCCATCCGCCTCCATTCCTATCATTTCACCCCCATGCACAGCCCTCTTTTGCACCAAGTGTCCTCGCTGCGGGACTCGCTGGCCCGCGTAGACCAATACGGCCCTCCCTCGCGCAGTGCGGGTCAGACTGCATACAGCCTACACCCCCGTGCCCCCAGTGGCGCGATCCCGCTGTCCAGTCTCATGGGCTCCAGTGCAGGGAGCGGCACTCTTTTGGCCTCGACTCTGCTCGATATCCCCTCGTCCTCCTCCCTCCATGCGTCCGCTGCCGAACCCGCATCAAACTCCTTGACCAAATCGGAGCAGGACCTGGCTCAGTACCTTGCGACTACGAACCAGGCGGAGCACGGCGACCACGGTTTATCCCGAGAACCCACGCTCATGGCGACTCTGAGTGGAGATTGGAGCACGCAGCTCGATTTCTACGACCGAGCAGCGTACATGGCATGGAACGAAGGGACCGAAGCGCCAGTCTCGGACAACCACTCCTCGTCGTCCCAAACCCGTTCATCGGACTCTGCCAGTGGCAGCGAAATCTTTCGACCGTTCAACTCGCGCGGCGAGTATGTCCTCGAATCGAGCTACCTCGTTGCCCGGCGGGCGTCGGAAACCTGGTCCGCAAGCTCGCGATCCAGCTCCGACTCCCAGCATCGCCATTCTGCGCTACCCTACGCTCTGCACTCCTCCGTCCTCCACACCGAAGGCAACAGTGGCCCCGTTCGGTACCAGGCATCGAACATGAATCGCAGCCCGTTCGCTGAGACGCGGTCGCTCCCCAGCTCTCCCCATGTCACCCCGCAACTCGAGATGGCGTATCCTGATGGTGGACACATGTTCGTCAGCATGGCGGATCTGACGGGGCCTCCTCACCAGGATCTGCCCACGGTAGCCCAGCCTATCATGCGGCGCACCACTCGCCCTCCTCCTCAAGTCTTAGAGCTTTCCGGCTCCGCCCCCAAGAGGAAGGCTGAGGAAGAAGAGGAAGCAGATTTGGAGGCCAAGCATCGATGCCTCCCCAAGCGCGGTCGTTTGAATCAAGCCAGTGAGGGTTGCACGCCGGATGGCGCTGCAAATAACGCTGAGGTTCCAGCTCAAGCTGTAGAGGATCGTGATCCCTACGACGACGTTGACACTTACGAAGATGATGCCGACGAAGATGATGATGATGACGACGACGACGAGTTTGTCCCTGGTCGGCACAAGCGAAAGACTCGGAAGAGGGCATCCATCAAATCTGAGCCGAACGAAGAACATGGAGTGTCGACCGCTCCTTACCCCGGGCGCAATCGCAGAGGAGCAGGGCGTCGGCGGAATGCGGGGAGTGCGGCCGAGGCTTTGAGGGTTGTGACAGAACTTGCCACCGGAAACGGCACCGAGTCCATCTCGACCTTTTCCGCTTCTCCAAGAGTCGACGCAGCTTCATTCTCCTCTTCAAATTTCGCTCACCAATCGGACGTATCGGCCTTGCCAGCACAGTACTTTACTCACGATTCCATCAGCGATTTCTCGTTGTCTTTCCCTTCCATGATGGGCATCAGCGAACCAACGCATATAGCGGCGGACCGACCTGCGCAGTGCAATAACCGGCGTCGGCCAGCGTCTATGCCGCTTCCGGTGCCCGTCCCAAACCTGATCAAAAAGAGCCGGGGCCGTCATGTTCCTGCAGTGCCAGACATCAATGCGCCCCCGCGGTCATTTATCTGCCAAGTTGTAGGATGCGGGAAGAGTTTCGTGAGGGGCGAGCATCTCAAACGGCACGTTCGGAGCATCCATACGTATGATCGTCGTACGTCGCTGAACTTCTCACCGCTGCTCATTGTCACTGACTACCATTCATCAGCGTGGATCTGTCCTTCTGAAGGCTGCGGGAAGACGTTCAGTCGGAGAGACAATCTCGCACAACACGCTCGTGTCCACCTTCCCCTTTCCTGATTTCGCCTGATTCCTCCTGCGCCACCCTCCGTTCTCCGCTCTCCCCGGCAGCGACCCTTCACCAATAAGAAACCTGTACTTCTGGGCATTTGCCGACTTGTACTGGTGTATATTTGTATTATAGATTGTTACTGTACTGTGAATCCTGTATAACCTATCCTCGTCTATTACTCTACTCTCTCCTATCATTACGAATACATACGCGTTAACTGCATCGGTATCATACGTTCTGCATGTCTTGGGGAGCTCTATTGGTCTGCTCACTCGGTGTCTACTGGAGGAAATAACAGCCCCCTCCAATTGAGAGTCTCTCCTGAACTTTTCTGGTTTCATCAATGAATCTGAACTCTGACAAAGTACGCAGGTCTGAGTTTCACATTGCCGTATGAGCCGCGGGATCTGAGCATGTGTCTTGGAGATAATGTGCTTATTTGCCACGGGCTAGTTTCACCTGGTAAAGCCGACCGCCTCATTGAAACTGCACCCGCTAGAATCTTTCGCTCGCGTTCCTCCCTGTGTTCAATCGAATTTCCCTCCGGTTGAGCAGGTCGAAAGCAATTATCAATAGCTAATACAAGTCACAGCAAGATACAACAGGATACAAGAAGTGTCCTTCGAAAACAACCCGCAAGACAATCAATGGTCATCGGCTTGGGGACTGCCCCACTTCGCAAACCTGGTGACGCCGTTCCTCCAGCCTTTCACTCGACGACCTGCAAGGAATGACACCGTTGATTGGTCCGTGCCCACGAATCCGGTGCTGCCCGACTGGACCACGGCATCGATCAGGATCGGATACCAGAAGCCGTACCGCTCCGCCGTCTCGCTGTGGTCGAGCCGCTTCCATCCGTACCCAGACACCTCGTTCCACCAGTCGGGATCCTTCTCGTCGCTAGTCATGACCACCAACGACACGGCCAGGCCATGCGTCCGGAGCAGCTCGGATTGCACTTCCTCGACACGACGCGCCAGGGCAGGGAGGGGCGTGAAACATTCGTCCGCAGTCTGGATGTCGCAGCGCTCCACAAAGTCTCCGTGACGGGCGTGCACTGCAATATACTGGGCACCGCAAGGCTCAGAAATGGGACACGGGAGTGCGCGGACCTGCTCACCGGTGGGATGGGGTCGGTTGCAGGGACACCCAACGCTTCCCGGATGTACATGTCGCCGATATCCTGCAGCTTGTTCGACCAATGGAGATGGTGTCCGACGAACCTCCACGCCGGGCTGTAGTCGCTCTTCTCGAGTTCGTGCTGCTGCTCACTGTCAGCACGCGATTGAGGCGAAACGAGGTACGTAGATGACACACCTCGTGGTCGTTTGCCCAGTACAAATTGTCGTAGCAGAGCACTTGTTCGTCGGGAGGCAGAACAGCTCCGGTGCGCGGGGCGGGAGCAGGTGCCAGCAAGCTCTCGGAGCGCTTCTGAGGGAACGACAAAGCAGAGAGGGAGGAGAATTTCATGTGATTCGAGTCATCCTCATAGAGTTGGATCCAGCTGGGGGCCTGAGTGTACGACACATCTAATGGGCATGAGTAGATGCAAGATATCTGAGACAGGGGAAGTACCGATGTTGAGTCGGACGGGCGTATGCGTCCAATGGGGCGTGTCGTGCTTCGATGAAACCGCCTGCCACAGATTCCAGCATCCCAGTGTGTCAACTGTCTCGGTGCTACGATTCTACAGCAGGAAGTCAGAGCCAACAAAGTACGTCACGATGGCCGACGCACCTTGACCTCCCACCATTCGAGCACAGGCTTCCTAATCGCCTTGGAAAGCCTGGGAATATCAAAGACTTCGCCAAAGTCCAGTGTCTGTCCGCGCTCGAAGTTGTTCTGGGAGACATGCAGTGGGACGAAGAATGGGACAATCGGTACTCGTTCTGTGAGGAGCGCAAGATAGATCAAGTTGATAACTAGCATGACGTCGTTTGCTGAGGCCGATGCTAGTGAGAAGAGACGCTCCTAACACGAGAGAGACACGCACTCCATCCCGATCCCGGCCAGCTTGTTATGTACTGAGTACCCGGCTGCAAGTTGTCTGGAGGACATTCAGATGCACACGATCTGCACTGGCTGAGTGAGGACGAACCTCGGAAAGCGTTTGTCGGCAACCCTTTCAAGACTCGGGGACTTTCCGGTTCTCTGGGGGGCACGGCTATGTACTCGGTAACAACAGTCGTGACGGTCGCGTGCACGGCTTGGACAGTCGTGACGGCGTTCGGTCGATGTAGCAGCGGCGGACGCGGGCCAACGACGGGTACGCGAAGCGGATCGCCTCCCGTAGCCCCTTGCAGTATGCTGACAAGCGCGGAAGTGTCCACAGACTCTCTGGAGAGGAAACCGACGTTGTACCCGCCGTAACCTAGAAGGAGGGCGCAGAGAAGGAATTTAGGATGGACCCAGCGAGCTAGCGAGGGCGTTGGCACGAGTGGCATAGTGTCAGATGAAGCAGGGAATGCGGTGGAAGGCAAGAAAGGCAAGACGAGAAACGACTCCCGTATTCATTCCTTTGAATTCCCTTCTTATGCTGACAATACATAATCCGCGAGACAGGGGCCGACGAGGTTTCTCCGTCTTCTATGCCATGGATAACTCGGACTTGAAGATGAGCGTCGGCTTCGTTAGTTAGGTGGCCTTGGGCGTGTTGTTACTCTGCAGACTTGACATCTGGGCTTTGAATGTGTGTCCTGCTGCACGGATGTTCTCTGATGAGGAAGAAGAACCGGCATCTCGACATTTTGATCGATCGGATCAGACTTGTCCGGTAGAAAGATCTCAGCTGGGCGGCAATCCTTGCCAGTGCAAGCCCGGCCAATCATGCGCTCTGACCCAACGTGCCCAAGGACAAGTTCACAGTGCTGCCTTCCGTGAGGTGATGTGGACTTCATGAGACCCATACATGCCTCGACAATGGCAGACCCGGCCCCACACATGACGTACTAGTTCAGCATTTTTGGTCATCTCCCAAAGCCGAACCCCGAACCAGAGTTCATGTCATTCCGGGCTCGAACAAATTTCTGAACCAAACCTCGAGAGCACTCTTCTCGGATTGGACATTCCTCATTTGGCAAGTGAGAGCTGATCTATGCTCGTTCACCAGCCTCAAATATGAGGTTCGGATCCTGCAGGTTTTCGGACCCACCTTCTATAGAATCAAGAACACGCAAGCAACGCAAACAGCCTGGAGCACCCAGGCCTGTTGGCGGATGTGGACTGCGGGCTCCAAAGAATCGCCGTTGGAGCTATGTAGCCACGAGGTTTGCACGCCTTTGATGGGGACGAGCATGCGGATCCTTCATGAGGCTCAGAGACGCACTCGATACACGTTACGAGGCCACATTTCGCCTGAAATCCACGAGCAGCTGGATAATTCCATGCAGGAAGTCCCAAGTTCGTTATCATCGTATATGGAGCGTATGGCCCACGAAAGAGACTTGGTGTCCAACGTTGCTTTCCCAAGCTCTCATTCAGCAACCAAAGGACCCGGGAAAGTGAATTGTGGTACAAGCTGTCGTAGAAGAACAAAGGGAACAAAGTGAATGCTCCATCGAGTGATACAAAGAGCAGTACAAGTACGGATGACAGAATCAAGACCATGGCATTGATGGCGCGAGGAATGCGACCAGGCCGGCCAAGAACATGGCCAGAGCTCCATTCAAGAGCACCAGCGGAATGCCGACGGCGGCATGCATATCGAAGCGTCGGAGACTAGGGTACAGATACGTGTGAGCGCGGGCTCGGAGGGGAGGGTAGGGGAACACCGTGGTTCCGTGTTGGTACTCCCGTGCCCATTGCTCTACCAGTATGGCGACCAGCGCGGATGCCAAGCTCAGCGCGAGGCTGGCGAACCAGAGGGAGTTGCAGAGAAGGGCAGATAACGAAGGTGAGAAAGTAGGGGCGGGCGGAGCTGCGGCCATGGTCGCTGTGCCGTTGGCGATACCCGCGAGCAGCTGTGTGATCTCGCTGAGCAGCGCGAGGGTCTGAGTGCCCGAGTCGGGGCTCAGCATCTTGTGGCTTTCGGTCATGAACATTGCGATGACGGCGGAAAAGAGGCCAGCCTAAGACGAGTCAGAGACTGAGGACGAGCATGGGAAACGCAGGGGGCGTACGAAGATCAGCAAGCCATACATCTCGCTCCGCCAGCCATCGACCACACCTTGGTCGTAGTTCTGGGCCACCGAGCTCTCCGCACTCCAGATTTCGTTGCCGTTAGCCCTCTGGCGCTTCAGATTTGATTCATCAGTCTCTGACATTCTCGTTGTGAGAGTGCGGTAGACAGCAGGATCGGCTTTGTCAGCAGTGTGCCAGAATTATATAGCGTTCGGCCCAGATTATTTTGCATGATCCAAGGGCTTCTGAACGAAGACAGCCGGGCTTCGACTGGCGTGTTGCACCATGCACTCACGTACTCATCGTTTAACACCCACGTTTCAGAACACCTTGCTCTGTCGTGGCTCGACCCCTAATCGACCTCATTTCTCGCCCATGCATTCAAAACCTACGGGACGGACAGTGCTGAGTCCAAGTTGTTAATGTGGTTCAGGCAGTCTTCACCATGATCACAAGACAATGGCCAGGTACTATCTCGGAAAGTTGGCATTCGCACCAGCAGGATTCTACGGGGCCACGTCGTGACAATGCTGCACTCGACTTCGACTCCTCCTTTTCGGGCGCTCAGCAGTGTTCACGAGGTCGCTTTCGTCGTGCTCCTGTTGGACTGGCAAGTGGTGCCCTAGCTACTGCGAGACTATGAGCGTTTCCATCTCCCGCTGTCGAACACCATCTGTCTTGCGACAGCAGAGTCGGAACTCCTGCCGGGTTTCTGTGCCCAACTGGATTCGCCCTCGACTGCAGATCACATCAACAGCCAGAAAGTGCTCCTCCCCTCGCTGATAGCACGCCAGTCGGCAACAAGATGACTGCCCAGGTTGCCTGTCCGTGCATGATGCATCACTGCCTATAGACGAACCGGAACCGCATGGGAATGTTGTGGCAATTGCGGACGGTCATGAGCGACAAACATGCCTGAAGTGCATGCCAATTACTTCATCCAAGACAACTGGAGCGCCGAACGATCGCGGCTACATCATTTCCCAGACGCCCTGTTCGCGGAAATGGGCAATACTGGAAGCCGATGACCTGCTTTCGGGGAGTGATGTATGACGAGCGTCTGTCAGCGTCAGAGTGCGCGTTTTCTATCGCGCTGTGTTGGGCGACCGATGTGATTCTTATGTGAATCCGGGTTCGAAATTGTTCCCGGACTCGTTGACCCGGACAATCAGCTGCATAGTATGCGACCGCGACTGGTGGGCTGCTCGGCGCGCTGGACTTACCTGCCCCATCTCGTCCAATTTATATCTCATCGTGAATACGATCGGCCCCGGTAGTCTCAAACCATGGCGTCTCTCGTGCTTCCTATGTTAGTTCCGGGCATTCTGCTGGAGCCGACCGTTATCTAAACCAGCCGCAAGATGATCGTGGTCGGATGGAAGATTGTCCATCTAGTCAGTCTGCCCGTCTGGATCGAGGTTCTGCCACCGTACAGCTTCTGGTATCTTAACAAACGTTTGATGGGCCCAGACTTGTCTCATGGATAGTCAGAAGAAGTACACGACGACTCAGAGAGTGGCAGGAGGTGAAGGGGGCTCTATGCATACCATGACGAAGCGGTGGACTGTAAGTGGGGTGGAGAGCTGATATCATATGCGTGGTATTTAACTTAGAGATGCCAGTGCCGATGTTTGAGCACCTAACGTCAGGCTGGGCTAAACGAATGGCAACCCGAGTGATACTCATTCGCCTCGTCCGCTTATGAACCGGACGCGTCCATCCTCCTGGCACACAGTCCGACAATCGGTCGCCGCATGCCGGTGTCGCTCGTATCTTGACACTGCCGACGCCATTCAGTATCTGTCGAAGATATTCAAGGCTCAGAGTGACTTTCGATCCTCAGTGTATCACCCTTGGCATCTTTGTCGACTGTTTTTCAATAATCTAACGGAGGGTACACCCTTTTACCAGTTGCGGTGGTCCGACCCCGGATTCGTCACGTGATTGTAATGCTTGGACGGTGTGGCGATTCTTGTATAAATGCAGAATGACATACAGGACGAAGATACTGCAGCGCGCTACTCTTGAGTTCTGAGTACCACCCCATTGTGCACGGTCGATTCAGACGCCGGGCATCGACAGTCAGCTCGTTGAGCCGGCCTATAAGCCACCGTGGCCCGAGCGACATCGGAAAGAAAACGGACCCCAGCCCCTGCACCAAGACAATGAGATGACATTCCAAGCTGTCCCCCGCGCAAGTCGTCTCACCTGTTAAATGCTCATGCCGCTCTCCGGGAACAGGAACGAAAGGGGGTTTGACGATGATTTCCGCTTTCTGCGGAACATGCTGGGCAAGATATAACGTATCGGACGTGAGGGCGTGGGCGACAGCTGTAGCGGATGGTCGATGGTGGATCTCCTCCATGTGCAGCACGTTCATCACCACCTTGATAGGACGGTCGTCGAAATCGGCCACCGTGCTACGGCTCAGCCTGAGTGCCTTCTTGGCTCCTGCGGGTTGCTCGAACTCGACGGTCGCCGACACACCCGTGTTGCCCGCGTAGCTCATCCGCACCGCGCTGATGCTCCCGCACGATGCGAAATGCGACTGCAGTTGCGCGGCAGTGATGCGTGGGTCCAGCTGGTAGATGAAAACATGGATTAGAGACGCATGCGAAGAGGAACGAGAAACTACGACCCACGGATCCGACGAGGACAAAGTTCTGCTTGGACGGAATCCGTTTCCCCATCATCCGCTGAGCTCGCACAGCTGCTTCCTGGGCTTTTCTCTGATCCTTCTGTTCACTCTTGGCCTGGTTCTTGGCATCGACAGCGGGGGACGTCTTGCTCGAGGACGCACTGTCTGAAGCTGAGGACCCCCGTGATCTGTCCTGGGCGGGAGTCGCGGCTCCAAATTTGGCGGAGGGTGTCTTGGTGCGAGTCATGATGACAGTAAAAATGAGTGGCGTATCTAGACAAAGAACAAGCGTCCCTTTATACCACGAGGAAACGGCCCGTGCGCTTTGCTACTTGGCCCACAGGTTATTGTTATTCGGTCCTTTGATGAAATAGAGCATCGAATGGTCTCAAGTGTCCAGCGAACTTTGCCGATGCACAGCTATGTCTCGGATTCCAGATGGGAGATACAAAAGAGCGTGAACGAGCAGGGAGATGGAGCTAGTGAAGAGGGAAGAGCAATTTGGGTAGTTTCCTTGATGCAGCGAAAACAGCGCAGTTTGACATATTATGTCTAGGTGTTGCAACAGAGGTTTCAACGTAGACTGGAATAGAGTGGCTGTAGGTGCTTGTGACATTCGGTGATTGCAGGCACTGCTACTAGAGCGCTGCTAGGCAATGGCGAATTCTATCCTGGCGAGCATGTGATCAGCACTGCCACTCTGCATTGTCTTTCACGTTCAAACGGTTCATGTAGTACTCAAAGGTGGACGACGGCCGTTCATTCCCAAGATCATGTCATCGACTAGTCACTCTGAGCTCGAATTAGACGAGACAGTGTCAGCCTCTGATGGCTGCTTCATCCCTCCTCCCGCATCCGATAGCAGACACCATCAGCTGCTGCATTCCAACGAACTGCCATCGCCTTTCGACATTCCTATCGTCGAATCGTACATCTCGCAGCATGACTTGCACTTGGAACGCATTCAAGTCGATCTCGAAAAGATTCGTGCCACTCTCCGGCCTCTCGAACGCGTCCAGGACCTCTTGCTCTCCACGCGCCGCCGGCACCAGGCGATTGTCTCGCCCTTGCGACGTCTCCCCGCGGAAGTGCTCAGCGAGATCTTCCACCACTCGCTGCCGGACACCAACGACCTCGTCCTGCGGCGGTCATTCAACCTGCTCGACAGCCCCTGGGTCGTGACGCACGTGAGCAGGCGGTGGCGGACGGTGGCGATGGAGACGCGCGCATTGTGGTCGCGCACGATGCTGTACTACTCGCGGCATGTGGAGGCTAGCAAGGCGTTCCCGATGCCGATGTTGCGGGCGCAGGTCGAGCGCGCGCAGAACCTCAAGATCTACTTCCATGCCAGTGCACAAGCGTCTACGATACACCAGGCTGCGGCCCTGGAGTTCCTCGTGAGCCACTCGAACAAGTGGGTGGAGGCGAATCTGGAGCTGAGTGCGCAGCTGGTGCCGATGCTGGTCAAGGTCGGTGGGCGGGTGCCACTGCTCAGGAAGCTGTGGCTACAGTGGGATGAGAGCGGGAACGAGGGGGCGCCGGTGGATATGGCCAGGTGTCTTATGGAGGCACCCTCGTTGTCGAACGTTGGAGTGCTGAACAGATTCATGGGCACCCCAGGCTTTCTCCCATTGCACCAGCTCACGCACTACCAACTCGATGCTCCGCTTGAAGTCCACCACGCGATACTGAGCTATGCCAGCCGGCTCATTGAGGCGCACATCGTTGTCGTGCATGTAGAGGACGACGAATCCCTGATTCCGTCGACGCCGATTGTTGTGCACACCCTGGAGCGAATGTGCATCACGAATCCGACGCTACTCTCCTTCGTCAACCTTCCAGCCCTCAAAGAACTGACGGTGTCCTTCGAGCTTGAACCTGAAAGCGGGTTTTTGTCGCGGGCTGTGTCTGATCTAGTTGTGCGCTCGTCGTGCTTCATACGAAGACTTTGCTTTGATGGTCACGTCAATGAGACTCGGACGATTGAAGTCCTGGCGTGCTTACCTTCCGTTACTGAACTCGGATTCATCATCGACGACGATGGCGCTCTCGCGCTGAACAAGTTTCTCCACGCGCTTGCAGCGAACGAGCCGGAAATTGCACCCCAGCTGCGGCACGTCTTCATCGGCTGTGACAAAGAGAGTTTCTTTGACTACAAGCTGTTCTTCCAACTTATCCGCGCGCGGTGGCGGAATGGTCTGGGGATGCTCGAAAGTGCTCTCGTGGCGGTCCATCACGGGCCGCCGCCAGCTCTGGCTGATGTGGAGGAGCTGAAACGGGGAGGGTTCGGCCTTGCCGTAGTGCAGCAAGAGGAAGCAGGCCAGTTGATGGATCGGTGGATCTACCACCAGTGGTTGTGGATTTAGGTGATCGATCCATCGAATGGCTCTTCGTTCGTCTCAGCAACATATCGGCGTGTAACCGGGCATGCGCTCCAGGCGTGTACTAGCCCATCTCGATCAGCCCTGCAATTTAATCTTATCAAGGGCGATGAGGTTATGCATCAGGTCACATGCAACCCATGTGAGGCAATCTTATCATGCCGTGGGCATATCTTATCGTTATCTCTATCGTACCACGGCCCGATTGATCGCAGCTCCTGAATGAGAAGTCAAAGCATTGTTGAGCTGGCTGAAGCATGTATACACTGAAGGCTCTCGGGAGAACATGTCGTGCACACTTAGCTGTGACTTGCGAGAGATCAGAGAAGCTTGCCGACAGCTCTGGATCTCCGCGGAAGCATTCCTCCGGGCGAGACCTTCTTGATCGGACGTCCGACACTTCGGCGACGGAAGCAAGACGGAAGTACTGTAGTAAGCGCATTTGGGTCGGTTGCGGTGCGCGCTACTTGTATCTTCCGCGGGAACCAGACGTCCATCGGAGGTCAGATGCATGCCAGAGGCTCTGGCAAGTGCACCAAGACGAACGGGTGTCAGACTTCAGTGCTGATCTAGGCTCCCAGCCCCAGGCACTGTCCAGCTCGGTGAAGGCTGACATAGATCCATCGGATATTATCGGACGGGGCCCACGTAAGCGATCTTGTCGGCCGTTGCGACTGGAAACTGGGAGTCTGGTTGTCAAGGTCGCAGGAGCGCAGTCTAACGTCGTTTTGCTTGCCATGCGTTCTTGACGGATTTACGTCTTGAGAAGGATGCGACTCACGAGGGAGGAAAGATTAGATTCCCTGAGGAGGTGATACGGGTGGTTGATAAATTCGCCACAAATACCACGGGATGAATGACAGGGTGAGTATAATCAGGCGCCCAGACTGCCTGAAACGATGTGCATAATACAGGGGCCAAGCTCACTGGAATATCCTGCACCAAGGTCCCGGTCTCAGGCCCGGAGCGAGTACTAGCTTTTCCTTGCCCTTCGGGGGTCTCAAGGAGAGCCGATGCTCCCCATCCTCAGTCCGACCCCGAGCAGGCTCTATGTAGGTAGATGGCCGGTCACCGGGTGTGGGGAAGAAATGTACGGAATTGATTAGATCAGATTCCAATGTGACCGTTACTAGTTACGAAATACCCCAGCGTAAGCGGGCCTGCCTTCCAGCTTTCATCCGAGTGGCTGGATAGAAGTAAATAGACCACTTCGTCGTCCTGCGCAAGCCCAACCCCCAGATACCAGGTCTCCCACCGTCGGCCAAGATACATGTTATATTTATCTCCGACACTTGATCTGATTAGATCATCTCCCCTTGAAGTGGCATCAGCCGATTGATTAGATCATCTCAGGAATGCGGCGTTTCTGATTGGTTGATGTTATCTTAGATAAACAGCATCGACCCTTTTTTCGTGTTGTTGTCGTGTCGTGTCTCACCCCGCTTCACCTCAGCTACCGCACCTCGTTTTGTTCCTCCTTCTCTTTCTAATCTCATATCTTTTCCCTTAATCTTCATCTACCCTTCTCCCTCTCACATCCTGCTGCGATGTCGAGCATCCTCGAGCATCCCCCCCTCCGCGCCGTCGACGAGTTTTTGCCGTCCGGCCCTGCCCTTCTCCCGCAATCTGCAACCAACGCCATCGCCGCTGCAGTGGCATCCAGCGCCCCCGCAGTGCCCGTCCGCCCGACGTGTGTCAACTGCGGCACGCTCGAAACGCCCTTATGGCGCCGCACACCCGAGGGCAGTCCGATATGCAATGCATGCGGTGAGTGGCATCGCCTTTGTTCTCGCTCCCCCTGCGCTCTCTCTTAGTCTACCCGTGTTCTGTCCTGCTTGGTGCTCTGCTGCATCGCCCTGGTTGCTTCATGGGCGACAGTCCTACACTAGCACGCCTGCGATGCTATATGCCTTCTGTTCCTTTCCTGTGTTCCCCTGCGGTGGCGTGAAGCTCTTTTGGCGCCCCGTATCGATTGGGCTTGCGAAGCGAAGCTCTGGCGAGGAATGATTCGATCGAGGATCGGATTGCCCTGCAGGACACGATGTTTTCGTGTGGCTGGCAGCCTGCGTCAGTGCTTGTATGCGGTTTCGTCTTCATCGATTCTTGGGTGTTTCGAGCATGGAGAACAGGAATGGATAGGATGGGATCGCATAGACTATCCGTGCTGTCCTGTCTGCACTAGCTCATCGTCTTTGACCCACCTACCCCATCTTGTCCGGTCTTCCCTATCTTCATCTTTCCTGCGCAAGCGAGATGTCCTCGACCACTCAGCTGACGCGTCCTTTCTACGCAGGCCTCTACCAAAAGTCACGCGGTGCTCCACGTCCCGCACCAGCGCACGCCAACTCTGCCAACGCAGCACCCGCGGTTCCCTCCGTGCCTCTCACTCCTGCACCTGTCGCAGGACACGGCGGAACCTGCCCCGGCGACGGCCGGTGCGATGGCACGGGCGGATCGTCTGCCTGCAGCGGTTGCCCGACGTGGAACAATGCCCTTGGCGGGACGAACGGATCCGAAGACAAGTCCGAGCCCACCGACGCGACACTGAGGAATATCTTGAACCCGACGCCTCCGCCGTCGACACCCGTGCAGGAGGTCCAGATCTTGAGTGCCACTCATCCGGATGCGATTGGCGGTACGTTATCGCCGCTTCCTGCGGCCTAATCCCCGACTGACTGACTGTGTGCAGGCCAAACCTCACCCACCCCGTCAACGCCGAAGATCAACGCGTTGGCATGTGGCAACTGTGGGACGAGCACAACGCCTTTGTGGCGGAGGGACGATGTGGGGAACAATATATGTAACGCATGTGGTACGTGTATCTCTCCTTCGCTGCTCTCGTTCTCGTTCCTCTGGGCGGAAAAATTGTTATCTTCCTCTCACACGTGGATCGAGTGACAAATGATGCATGCGGCAGCGGGCTGGAACGGATGTGATTGTCGTCAGCATCCGGATCTAGGCGATGTCATAGAGACTGTGAGGGTTCTCATGCCCTCATTGATCTAACTCCGGAGGAGACTGTCTATCATATCTTATCTGACACGCCGATTTGAAGCTAAACGATCTCTTCTCCTCTAGGGCTGTACTTCAAGTTGCACGGAACGCACAGACCCACCTCAATGAAGAAGACTGTTATCAAAAGACGGAAGCGCGTTCCTGCGGCTGGAGCAGGTGAAACGAGCCCTGGCGGAAACGGTGTGTTACATCTGTCATTCCGCTTGCTTTCCCCATTCATAGAGCACAGCCATGTCTGACCAAGCAGCTGCCGAAGCACTCGTCGCTGTCGGCCGGTCGCGACCATCGCCCCACCCACATCCGACGGATGACGAAACGGACGCGGACGCACCGAAGCGCAAACGTGCCCGGCGCAAGACGACGACGACGGGAACTGTCTCAACGGACGACGAGGCCCGTGGCAAGGATCGGGCCAAGTGGTTCCCGAACGTCGAGCTGCCTTATACGCCATACGCGTCTGCTTATGGCAGCGGTGATGGGAACGGCAGCGTCCCTCCAAGTCGGGGCGGAGCCGGGTCACCGGTGAACGGAACCTACCACCGCCCGCCGCCAGTGCCGACGCTGGACGAGCTGGAGCGCCACTACTTCAACCTGCACGAGCAGCGCCGGCAAATGGAGAGCATCCTGCGGGAGACCGATCGGATGATGACCGGCCTCAAGCGGGGATTGGACGAGATGCGTGCCGGTGTGATCAGCGCGTCGGAGGGTGCCGTCGACGTCGTCCCCCTGCGCGGCAGGAGTCGCGAGAGCTCAGCCAATGCGGGGGCCAGTGTGTGGCCAGTCACGCCTGCTGCTGCCGTCGAAGGGCAGTAGATTCATCCAGCCAACTTATGTGGACCATGTTCGTTCTTCCGTCTCTTCTCCTCTGATTATGCGCTTGCTATCGATATCTATGCCGCTCCAAAAACTACATATATCCGTTTTTAGTCTCGTTCTTGCCCTTAACACCTCCCCCCACCTTCTTTGTGTATATTCTTTGTCGTTCTGGTTTTCTGTATACGCCCATACACACACACACACACCCACATACATACATACATACGTCTCGACTGATAGCTTATTGTAGGATCCCACTCGTGTAATATATGTCAGATATGGCCTTTTCTTCCGGAATCAAGGACCACTGCTTGTCAGCTGCGCTTGTGTCAGAAAGCGCATTGAGAAGAGCACAAAGTTACACAAGTGGTTCTCGAAATAATCGTTGAAACGTCGGAGATACCCGAATGATGATCTCTCCTGCTGTTCTACGACACCAAGCTATTCAATCAAGGTCAAGCACCAAGATATGATTCGACATGATCGCACTGAGGTATTCGAGCCTAAATCTCAATTAGATTGAATCGCATCCTGATCGACTTGGGAAGGCGCGCTACGAGCATCTGCTAACCACAAATGACACGCCCGAAGAGGATGAAATCTCACGGGCCCGGGCGGCTATCGGGTACCATCGGACCAGATTAAACAGCCTCGAAGAGCGTGTCACTGCGCTCCGAGCCGAAATGGAACCGCTGGAGACCGAGCGAACAGCAGTGGAGACCGCGCTGTGCCAAAATATCGGCCTCGTATGTCCCCTGCGACGCCTTCCGACGGAAACTCTGCTCGAGATATTCGCGTGGACGCTCCCATCCGTGACGTACCCGCTCAACGGGCGCCTGTCGTTCAACGTCGCCGACAGCCCGTGGGTGCTCGGCCACGTGTGCCGCCGGTGGCGCATCGCATCGATCTCAAGCCCGGCGCTGTGGTCGCTGTTCGCGTTCGACTACCGCGGGTTCATCAGCAACGAGGTGCTCCCGCGGCCGGCGGGAGATCCGATTTCGTACTACGCCGGCCCGATGGTTGCGTTGCAGCTGCAGCGCGCGCAGAAGATCCAGGTGCATTTCTATGGCTCGGAGGACCTGGACCCGGCTCCGCAGGTCGCGATGTTCGCCTTCCTCGCTCAGCATGTCGGGCGGTGGGAGGAGCTGAGCATCGGGCTCACGGCGGCGCTGTTTCCGTATTTGGCCGCTCTGCAGGGCCGATTCCCGGCGCTGCAACGGCTGTGGGTGGACTGGGACACGGGTTCCAGCCAGGAGGGTGTCACGTCGCTGCACAGTTTTGCCGAGGCGCCTGCCTTGCGGGATGCGGGATTCTACAACGAGTTTCGAATGATTCCGATGTCGTTTCCGACGCGGAACCTGACGCGGTATCGGATGGACGCACCTTGGTCGACACACAGAGATATCCTGATCACGGCAAAAAACCTGCGAGAAGCCTACGTCGAGATCTCGTTCGACAACCCCTTGGTTCTGATTGATGACAGCGACAAAGACGTGATTCAAGTTTCGTTGCTGGAGCGATTGTGCATCGGCCACCCGGGGATTCTGAATTTTCTCAGAGCTCCCCTGCTCTATGGCCTGGCTTTTTTCTTCGAGTGCTACGACTGGGTTGATGCAGATATCTGCGTAGATGCCTTCGTGAAACGCTCTGCATGCACACTCAAGCATCTGTCTCTGAAAGGCGTCCCCGAAGTGCCTATTTTCATGCGCATCCTGTCCAGACATCCGTCCGTCACCGAAATTGCTATTTCATTCTTCGATCTCGATTTCGGAGATGCAGAGATCTGCGACACCTTGATAGCAGAGCTCAGTGCCAACGTCTCGCCCCAGCTTTCTCGGATATCCTTTGGCTACGCAGACGCTGAATTTTCGAATCCGCGGCTCTTTCTGATGATGTTGAGATCACGCTTCGGTGTCACCGAACTGCGGGCGGCGGGTTTACTGGCCTATGGGTCGCTGAATATGACTCCTGACGACCAGGCTGGTTTTCGGGTGCTCATGGAAGCTGGATTGGAGTTTTTGACTGTGGAGGGACAGCAAGCGAGTGATATTATGGCTGCGTGGATGTATATAGAGCAGTGGAACTGAGCTGGTAGACACACCATCGGGCAAGGCTGTGATTGATAACCGCTCGATTGGGCAATTTATACACCGATGGTCTGAATGAACCCAGAACCTGGGCGCCGTTGACCCCCTAGCTCAGCTGGTAGAGTATCTGATTCCAGCTCACGGACTTTTCTTCGTTTGGAATATCCAGAAGGTCATCCGTTCAAATCGGGTGGGGTCAGCGTTCTACTTTTGGCTGTGATACCATTGGTTGTCAGCACCAGTATGTCGCTTGTTTACCGCACTTGTTGCTCGCATGAAACCAGTGCGGTTCCATAGGAGAACGATCCCATGATCGTTCAAGAGGAAGAGTGTAAACCGGACAGTTTGCTCCGCTGATGCTGAGCTCTGCTCTATCTCGATAAAGTGATGAAATTGAAAGCGAAGATGAACCAACTTCACTCACGTGATGGATCGCTTTATACCGCATTGGGATACACAGTTCATCATGCGCCTCCACATGTCACAAAACAAGGAAAGATAAGAATCTGGTCCATTCTGAGCATGCTTTGTACTCTCAGCTGATATAGAGTTTCTAGATGGGCAAGAAGTTCACCTGAATATCGTGCGTGCTTGGCTCAACATTTTACGATTCAGAATGCTCCGATAACGTAAACGAGGAGGTCAGGCATTCTGTATCTCCATCGAAACTGCCATGAAAATCTCAATAGGTTAACGATGTCTCTCAGCACATCTTTTTTTTTTTTTTTTTTTGGTGGTGCGTTGGTTTCGACCTCCGGCAGCTAATAATTGATTAGCCCCTTTGATCCGCAAAGTTGGAAAGTCCGAGGACTTCCCCCAAGGGTAGGAACGCTGTTTACGCGCGAATGATCACGAAGATCAAACAGTGTGGGACTCGATCACATGATAATACCCACCAAACCTCCCGCATAGTGGATTTTTTGACTGGGATTCGAACTCCTGCTCTCGCAGGCCCAGGGTTCTCCGATTTACTCAGAGACCGCGTGTTGACCACTAGGAAAAGCAACCGCTCTCTCAGCACATCTTTATTAGCTCGTTCCAAAAACAAATCCGGGAAGCCTTGCCGAACAACAATTGTCGGCCGGCTACGTCAGCTGACCCCGGGATTGTGAATTTCCGTCGGTAAACACTCAGATTGGTTATTCTGCAATTGGCCTTGCATCGCATCACCTAGTGGTGGTGTAAGCATTGAACCTCATGATGCAGAACTGATGATGCAAAACAACGTGACTGCGCATCAATGACGCATCATCGCATCACCGATCGGCGGCCACTGCAGCTTGCTTCCCCCTACTGCGACAGCCGATGAGCTTCCGCCGATTAGAGACGGTGCTGTCCTCGAATTTCTCTCAGTTGCCGCACAATCTCCAGACTCTCATTCACGCTCGCCTGCTCCATCAATCGAGCCCTCGCTATCGAACCCCATTCAGCTTCCCAACCCACCCCAACCCTACCCCGCACGAGATCTTTCACCTCCCGCGGGGTGCATCAGATGCAGACATCAAGCGCCGCTGTCCGTACCCCGTCCCCTCCCGCTGTGGCTGAAAACCACTGATTTCTCCCGCATCTCCCGGGCCGCCAGACATCGCCCTGGTGAAACAGCACCACCCCGACTCGCCCGCATGCCGGGCCCTGCCCTCAGACGAGCGACACCGGCGCTTCCAGCTGGTTTCGGCTGCATACGACACGCTGCGCGGGAAGACCGTGTCGATGTCCGGCGGGCCGCGGCGGCAGCCGCAGGACCAGGATACGTGGGACGAGATCGACCGGCGGAAGAACGCATATGCGCGCTACCAGGCGGGATACGCGCGAGCGCGGCGTGCGGAGTTCTCCTCTGGCTATAGCCCCGGGTATGAGGACCCGTTCTCGTGGAAGCGCCATCGGCCGGTGCAGGACGACGGGTGGGTGGATCGGCTGATTTTGGCGTTTGGATTCACCGTACGTCTTGTTGCATTGCGCTAGAGCTCTGGCTTCAACGTCCTGACAGGCATTGATTGTGGGTATCCTGCCCATGTACTTGTATCCTCGTCCGGTTTATCCGCGGTTACCCGACTCCGCATTTCATCTTGCCCAAGCGCGGCGCGAGGCAATGCTGACTCGCGACGACCGCATGCGCGTGCAGGAGCACCAGGAACCAGACTCTGACTACGAGAACGACTAATTTTGTATCGTGAGACAGGAAGCATGGTGAAATATGAAACAGCATTCATCGAGAGGTGTAGATGTCCCTTACCGCTTATCATGCCATGCCGCCCTGCGTCAGGAACCCAGTAGTGGACTTCTGACCGGTCCTTCCCCGAGCAAATCCGTCTGTTTGTGCTGCATACTTCAGTCGCTCTCATCACCTGAGACGAGCCGCTTGGGACTCAGCCAACCTTCCGCTCCTGGAAGAGTTTGTTGCCAACGATCATTTTGGGCACGCGACCAGAAAGGAGCTCTTGTTTTCAATCGCTGTTCTCGTGTGATGCATGATTGTGGTCCAAAGTGAAGAATCGAATGTCGTGTTTGAACAGTTTGGGTTTGGACTCTCTGGATCATGACTTGGCTCCACGGGATGGTCTGTTCATGTTAAGTTTGCTTCATTCGGCTTCATCTTTGGATGAAAACGGGTCGCAGCACTCACGAAAGGAAGATGAAGCATTTTATAGGTCCAGTGGGGGTTTCAGCCGTGCAACTCTGAGGCTTTGCCCTGCACAGGCTTCATGAGTTTTGTTTCTTCAGACGAATCTATGCTTTCGAGAAGTGTCTTGGAAGGCACGGGTTCCTCCGTAAACAGGCTGTGGACGCATATACGGGTCTCTCAAAGACTATCCGAGCGATGAAACACAAGGAATACATTACAGGGGAATACAGCTAGTGCGTGGTAAGTGGGCTAAAGATACATCGTCGTCGTTTGCATGCATGGATTCAATGCTCAGATCATGTCCCCAAAGACAGGGTTTGCATGCAGGCTTCTGCGCAAAGCACGAGGTGCACGGGTGCCCTGAAAGAGATGGTATCAACAGCCAGCTCGGAAAGTAGAAGAAACAGGGACCCACGAGTGCCCGGCGCTTGGCGGCCTTAGCCTTGCAGGCTTTGCTGCTCTGAGGGGCACTTGCAGTCGTTGTGGTTGTATTGGTCGTGGAGCCGATTGTCGAGTCACCAGCGGCGGGGGTGGCGGAACCGGCAGTCAGAGCCTGGCTAACGACCACACATCCGCCGAAGCCGCTGGACGTCTTCACAGTCAGTAGGCAGAGGTCACCCGTTTTGCCTCCGGTGCATGCGGTCCCCGATGGAAGCGAGAACTGGAGTTGCTGTGTGCCGGTGCCAGTCGGGTTCTGGTGAAAGCTGGTGAGGAGATGGAGAAAGAGATGAGAGGAGGAAGACACACCTTGTCGCCGTTGACCGTGACGTTGACGGCGGTGAAGTTCTTCCCCAGTCCAGTCGGATCGACTCCGAGGGAGGCGACGAAGCGCGCACCATCCGTGCCGCTGAATAGCCATGCATCAGCTCATTCACAAGACCCGGGAGGGACGTTACATACGCGTTGAAGTTGGTCATGTTCATGAGGACCGTCCCATCTGCCGCGGCAGGGATCGCGGTCGAGGTGTCGAGGGTGGCAGCGATGTTAACGTTGCCGCACGGTTTCGCGGTCGAGGGGCGCTGGACGTCGCTGCGCTTCGGGGCGCCCTGCACGCCGAGCGCTGGCGACGGCATGGCGTGGCCCTGGACGTGGAGAGCCAAGGCCAGAGTGATGAAAGAGAGTTTGAAGACGGTCGAGAACATCGTGCAGGAAGAGATCGGATGGAATCAGAGACAGTGGTGGGATGGTCGTAAACTGAGTCGTCAAGCAAATGCCGGGAGAAAAAGAAGGAACCGGTCCTGAAAGTAAAGAGGAAGTGGGAGGCTTTGGCAGGATCGCATCGAAGGAGGGGTGCTCTTATATGGTTCGGAAATGTGCGGCATGGTTGGCCACAATGCGTCGAAAGAACAATGGGACTTGTTTGGCTGTGTTGATGCTCCCGATGTAACCGCCTCGGCCTACATCCTTGTTTTTTTGTCAAGCCTTCATTCAAACGACTTTCATAGGAGTTACACAGTCCAGACAACGGCGAGCTAGATATACCACCGATCTGTTCTTTTTCCAGCAGCTCAGGGAAAATGGGCTGCTTGCGAGGGGCCGCCGCACAAAGCCCGTCCGTCGTTCGCTTCAAATTGCTCGGACATAGTACGCTCGCGTTCCAAAGGTCGCCCTGGATTTCTCAAGTTCGGAGACGCTCTTCCCATTCAAAGAATCGTTGATGCATCGATGAAACATTTCCTCGCGCCAGTGACAAACCCCGACATCGTGATATTGCCCACGTCCGGATGTGTTTGATCCCCCCTGCTTGTCTCGGCGGCAGGCACCATGCACTGCATGGCGTTGGTAATCGGGACTGTTCAATTTCCGTGTGAGATGGGACGTCATGTAACTGCGGGCTGAGTGCAGCCCAACAAATGTAGCGAGCGCCAACTGCGGCCCGGCGACTAGACCGCATCCCTCCGCAATCCACCTCGTCAGTAGTTGAAATCGATCGGACTCATAAAAAGGCATGTCCAAGGCCTACGTCCAGCACACATCTCATCTGCATGTCTCGCCTCACTCTTCTCTTGACGTTCGCTGCGTGCTTCGCATCGGTTTTTGCGGCGGAGGTCATTCAACGGGACACCAATACCGATACTCCGATGTGAATGGATTTTCCTGTTTTAGAGAGGAGACGGATCGGCTGACGGATCTATTTTTCTCTCAGCGGTGGATATGCACCAAAAGTGAGCTCGCCGCTGTCCTCGATACATAGGTCTGAACATGGGGCCAGAGATTCCTCTCGATGATGGGAGTCATCGCCTACGGGCAATCCGCGATAGCACTGTGGATACAGTTCTTCTGGAACAAACCAAAACACCCGTTTATGCTCACTCTGAATTTCGGAATGACGGGTGCGTGTTTCGGTTTTTGTGCGAGGACAAGAACGTCTCACGCTCATGCTTTGATAGCAATGACAGTCGGTTTCGTCCTTCGGTGGCTGTTCGCGAATCCGCCTTACACTCTGGGAAAATACATCGCATGGGATATGGTGTGTACTTGTCTTTAAGGTTCTACAGCGACCTGAAAGTTTTGCAGTTCATCCTACTCTCGGTACTCGCGATCTGATCCATCGAGTAGCTCAAACTGACATTGCGAACAGCCATGTCTCTTTTTGGCGATCGACTACATGTTACTCTCTCGTCTGGTAGACACATTCGACACGGACGTCGTGGATCGGTGCCTCGTCATCAACCCTAACCGGCTCGTGAAGATCTTCGTATGGAGCGACGCTCTAACATTCTTCCTGCAAATTTCGGGCGGTGGTCTGACTGCATCTCACAACACTAGCTCAGCCAATCTTGGCACCAAGGTGTGTGATTTCAGTGCTGGTTTCACCACAAGTTTCATCGAACTCCTTGCACAGATCGCTTTGATTGGGCTCATTCTCCAGGCGGTTTCGTTCCTACTCTTCACCTTCTTGATGCTCACCTTTGCCTTTCGAGTGTGAGTTGTCCTTTCTCAGATAGGAGAATGGAGCTGATCAGCCGTCCAGAGCAAATCACTTCCCTCATATCTGGCGCCCAGAAACCCCTGCGCCATTCAAGATCTTGTCGACCGCGCCAATCGAGGACTGGCGCATCCTGATCTACATCATGAGCATCACTTGCGTGGGCATTATGACGCGGTCTGTCTTTCGTATCGCCGAATTTGCCGGAGGGTGTGTATCATCACCCCCCTTTCGTAATCATCCCCCCTTCTCATGCTATCTCTCTAGTTACAACGGCCGCATCGCCACACACGAAGTCTACTTCTATCTCTTTGACGCGCTTCCCCTCATGATGACCATGTCGCTGTACTGTGTGGTGTGGCCGACACGCTTCCTGCAACCCCCAGAGGGAAAATTCACCCACCATCGCGGGTCCAGCCAGGAGCAGCTCAAACTGAATACATTCCAGCAGGTTCCAGTGTAAAATCATCCTCATCCCGCCTGTAGAACTGGACTTGCCGTATTCATGGTTGTGATTTTGTTGTACTACATACATACGCTGCGCCTGTGTCACTCTTCAGGTTCAATTCGCCTGACAAGTTCAATGTACAGACACACAGCAGTCCAATCCAACACCTAATTATTCAAGTAGAGTAACATATTCAATGACATCGTGTACTTGTTTCTGCAATATAGACATCCAAAAGCGCGTCTGCTAAAGCTCCGGCTGATGGAGATACCGGGTGGACAGGGAGTATATACAGGATTTGTAGGACTGGGATTGGTATTTTGATCCAGTAGGACTCGCGCGAGTCCTATTCTGCAATCAAGTCCTACCCGAGCCAGTCCCACTTCATCAAGGAACACATGATCATCGCAGATGATCTCAATCTTGGGTAACACTCGGAGCAAATCGGGCTGTCCCTGACATATTATACGCATCAAGAAAGTTGCCACTTCAGAGTGATCTGAGTCAGAATTTGATACTCGTAACTACATGGAGCAAGACACAATGGTTGTAAACTCTACAGCATCACCTCCTACTTTCGCTGACGTTTAGCAGCTTTGCCCAGGTCAGTACCAATGTCGTGATCGCGCCCACGATCCCGGGTTCGGCGAACACGCCTTGTTGTAATGATATTCTGGGCGGTAACATTGCCCAGATCCAAAGTTGTCTCGACAGGACTGTGAGAAAGAACGTCGGATGCGGATGGCAGAGGAGTAGGCGGTGGAGACGAAGCCGGGGGTTGTGGCAATTGAATGTCAAGATGAGATGTGTATGCCTTTGGTACGTCCTCGCGGTCCTGATCAACTTCCATATCCAGTCGATACTGTTCAAAAGTATCAATAAACCTGTAATCTTCCGCTGTCATCTCATAATTAGCGAAGTCGAAGTCGAAGTTTGGGTCCCAGCCTTCTGAGAGCGATGGACTAGTGGCCTGATGCAATGGATCGATGATGCTTGCACGTGTGTGTCTACCCTGAGCCTGTGTGATCCGCCTGAGTCACGTGCCTGTGCACGTGACCCCTACTCCATGTGCCCCCACTTTAAATGGCGACGTCCTCGTTGCTCCTCCTCGCCCGTAGCTCCCTTTCCGCCTCTTGTATCCGCCATCTCTCCACCTCTGCTGTCTCCTTGTCTCTCTGCTTCCCCGTGTCTTCTGTCTGCTCTATGCTTTTGTCGTCCTCCTGCTCTCCTCTTCGTTTCTTATATTCATCTTGTGCTTTTGCTAGTGGCGTGCTGTCCCTTGGTTTATAGTGTCGTAGTCTCCTCGCGTTGTAGTGTCCATCCAATGGGATCCCTTCCACCGATTCGAGTGTGTATGAGTTGCGCGTTCTCGCCTTCACCCGATGCGGCTCCGTCCATCTGCACGTCAACTTCCTGTCGTTGCTCACGGTCTCCGCTAGGTCGCTTCGAAAGACCTGTACCAGCTCCCCTTCTTTGAAAACCACATTCCCCGCCCTCGACTTGAGTACTTTTTTGTCGAATGCCGCTTTCCGGCTCAGCGCATATTTTACTCGCTTGGCGTATCCGTCCAGTCGTGTTTGCTCTGCGTATGCCACATGTCGTATTGCCTCGTCTTCTTGTATCGCCTCCCTGGGGCTCTCGCTCCTTTTGTCTTCTGGCTCCTGTTGTATCCCGAACATCAGTTCCCGTGGTGAGAACTTCACCGCCGGTAATATCCGGTCGTTCAGCGTTTCTATTGCTTTTTCGAAGTGCTCCGTCCATTGTCTCGGCAACTCGTCTCTTCTTGACGACTTCCACTCGTCTTCCCCTACGTTCGGCGCACATAGTCTCGATAGGACGTGTAGCAGCAGTTTGTTTGTGCCTTCGACCAGTCCGTTGATCCACGGTGCGTATGCGGCCACCTTCTGGAACTTGACCTTCCTTCTTTCGCACAGTGCTTCCACTTCTCTGTTGGCGAAGTGTCGTCCGTTGTCCGACATGAACACTTCCGCCCTGTGGAACTTCCCGAAGATGTATTCTAGCGCCGCCGTTGTTGTCTTAGCCGATCCCGATTCTTTGTATTTGAATCCCCACACGAATTGTGAGAATACGTTGAGGTAGAGCCCTATCGTCTTGTATCCGCCCTTTCCGTCCGGCATCGATAGGTAGTCACCAACGATCAGCTCGAACGGTCGTCTTCTTGTGATTGGCTCCATGAGTGCGTGTAGGTGTGCTGGTCCAAATCCCTTGCACTTTGCACAATCCGTGAGTGCTCGCATAATTGATTCGTCCAGTCCCGGGCTGTGATACTTGTCCATCAGTGTGAGTTTTACAGCGTCTCTGTGAAAGTGGCCCCCTTCCGCGTGTGCCTTTGCTGCCTCGTTGTATGCTTCTTCGCGTGTTATGCATTCTCTCCTCGATCTCGCTCGTAATCTGGGTCCCCCTCCTGTGCGCCACAGCTTGCCGGCCTCAATGAAGTACTGTGATGCGCGGTGTCTTGCTCTTTTCTTGTCCGTTTCACTCTTCCCCAGGTCTAGCTCCGTGATTGCTTCTACGATCTGTAGGTACATTGGCTCCTGTTCGAAGCGTCTCCGTAATGTGCTGGTGCCTTCTGGTAACGGCACCACTGTGCATTCTAGCTCTTCGTCAGCCGTGTTTACCGCAAATAGATCGTTCACCAGTCCCGTTCTTGTTTCCCAGTCCGGGGACACCGTCCATTTGCTCCCATCGCCCCATTCTTTCGGTGTCCCTTCCGCCGCTCTGCTCAGCGCATCTGCTACCGCGTTTGTTGAGCCTTTGATGTGTTCTGCGCCTACTATATTGTATCCAAGCAGTCCGTTAAGCCATCTTGTGTGCGTGGCGTTGAGCTTTTCGTTGTTGATGATGTCGCGCAGAGCTTGGCAGTCTGTCTCTAGCCATATTGGTTGTCCCCATACAATGTTCGAGAATTTGTCTAACGCAAACTTCAGTGCAGCGAATTCTAGCAGATGGGGCTGATACCGTTCCTCTGCCGTTGAGGTCCTTTTTGACGCGAATGCGATTGGGTGTCTCCTGACGACCACTTTTCCTTCTGCTGTTCTTGATTCCATCCGTTGTGATAGGACTCCTGCGAACGCGTCTTTGCTTCCGTCTGTCGTTACTATGAACGGGTGCTTATGTACGATGTCGTACAGTGGTGCGCGTAGTACTGGGGCCGAGATTAGCATCTGTTTGAGCTTTAAGAAACACCTTGTATGCTCCATGCTCCATCTTGGTCTTAGGTCGAAGTTCTTCATTGCCGTGCGGTACATCTGTCTGCTGGCGTTCTTTGGGATTGGCACCTCCTTCAGTAGGTTCCTAAGCGGCGCCTCTTCCCTTGCATAGTTCTTGATGATGTCTCGGAAGTAGCCTGTCAGGCCTAAGAACGCCGCCAAGTTTGTGGCGTTTTCTGGTGTCTTCCATCCGACCACTGCCGTGAGCTTTGTTGGGTCCGGGGCTAGTCCTTTTGGCCCGACCATCGCGCCCGCGAATACCGCTTCCGTCATGAACAGTTTTGTCTTGGCCGCTGATAGGGATAATCCTTTGGCGCGTATTCGATCAAAGATCTGCCTCAGCTTGTCGAGCATGTTGTCGAACGTGTCTGCTGCTGTGCCTCCGTCATCCACGAAGAGTTCCATTACTTTTACTAGCAGATCACTTAGCTTGTCCGCGCACATTGCCCCGAACTCCGTTGGTGCATCCGTCAGTCCGAACGGCATTCGTGTATAGGCGTAGTATCCCATCCCTGGTACGAACATGACCAGATACGGCTGCGCTTTCTCATCCACTCGTAGTGCGAAGAATCCTGACGCAAAGTCGAATACCGATACATACCGGTGTCCCGCTAATCGTCGTTGCTTGTCCCGTATGTCCCCTTGCGGTACTGGTACAACTTTTAGCAGTGTTTTCAGCTCGTGAAAGTTTTGACATATCCTCCACTTCTGGTTTTGTGGTCGTTTCGCCCTCCTCTCTCTGTCCTTCTGTTCGACGTTGTACGGCCTTGGTAGCCCTGCTTGTTCGCATGCTTTGTTGAGCTCTTGCTTTAGCTCATCGTGCGACAGGCCTCCGTTCTCGTGCTCTTTCTGCGCTAGTTTGATTGGCGATACGCATTTCACGTCGCGTGGGTGTATGGGTCTTAGTATTCCTGCCTCGACTAGTTTCCTTGTCTGTTCGTGCAGGTACTCTTCCTGTGGCGGCGTCATCGGTTTTTGGTGTACTTTGGTGCTGAACCTTGTTTCCGGCGGTATCTTTGGTGCGTACGTTGCTCCTTCGACCGGTGTGACCTCTGCTATTGATAGCGCGAATATGTCTGCGTAGTCCGCTATGAAAGTGCGTACCTTTTCCCTCTGCGCTTCCGTGATGTCTGGGCCGATTGTTACCAGCTTTACTATCTCATCCACGCGTTCCTTTTTGAACGGGTTTGATGCCCTTGTGTGTATGTTTGTCTTGTTCCTCTCCAAGCTTGTCCCCGTCTGTGGTGTTTCCCCAATGTCCTCCTTCTCGTTCGTCGTACTTCCTCCTTCTGTTCTCCCCTCCGCTTCTATGTTTTCCGACACCGCTCGTATTTCCTCCTCGGCTAACTCCTTCATCCAGTTCTCTCTCTGCTTGTCCGTTTCCTGATCTTCCTTCGTTTCTCCTTTTGTCCTTTCGAATCTCGATAAGACTCCCGTGAATCGCGATTGTGATCTGTCTGGATTCGGTTGTTTTCCTCTTCACCCGGTTCTGTCGTTTCGTAGTATTGTGGTCGTTCTTCCCATTTGTCCTGGTATTGTGACCTCGTCCGCCGCGTAGTCGTGTATCGCTTTTGCCGCTGCCAGTGATGGTTTTCCGAATAAGAAGGACCATCCCCCTCCACTCGGAAATACTTCCAGCTCCATTGGGATGACTGCGTGTCCTATTTGGATCTTCCCGGACCAGTGTGCCGTTGGTTTCACCAGTGTTCCGTCGGCCATTTTTAGTGTGCGCTTTGACGCTGTCCCTCCGCCCAGTCGCTGCTTATGTTTTTCCCATATCCGTCTGTCCATTGCACTCACCGACGCTCCCCCGTCAAAGAGCGCTTCCATTTCTATCACCTTGCCCTCCTCGTCCATGATACTGATCGGGTGTACGAACGGTGCTGACTTTCCGGTTCCAACGGCATAGAGCTCAAGCGCTTGTGATTCATCGTTATCTTCGTGAACATGCGATCCTTCTATGGTACTGGTTCCGGGGCCTTGCTCTTGCCTCGGCATTGGGGTCGTCGTTTCGGCGTTCACGGCGACCCGTCCTGAAAACCCTGCTGTCCGCCATCTTCTTCGTCCATCCAGTCCGTTATCACTGCGTTGACCGACGTCGCGCGTGGCATGTTCTTGGCGCAGATCCGCCGGAAGCGACGTTCGGCTGCTGGCAGTGCTGTTTCTAAGCACTCCCTGGCGTTGTGCTTTGGTGCTGTCAGTTTCCCGCAGTTCCAACACTCGCCGCTTCCTGGCCATACCGTTCCTGGCGAGAGCGGAACTCCAACTTGTTCGACCAGGACCGGCTCCTGCAGTGCTGAGAATGCTCTCCATCTCGCTTTGTACGTTGCTACGTCTGCTGGGCTCGTTCCGAGCAGGGGTTTTGTCGCCTTCATCTTCTCGAGCACTCTGGCCAGCGTCGCCTTGGCTTCCGTCGAGAGTACCTCCGGTGATGTTTGCATGGTTGGCCGGAAGTTCGGTGCTGGGATTCGTTGTTCCGTGGAGATGCTGGTGCGTGCCATTTGGGTGCGGAGCGGCGCTGTCGGTGATTGTGGGACTAGTGCCCTTGGTGCGTTTCTGGCCTTGAGTGCGGCTAGCTCTGTCTTCAGCTTGTCGTTTTCCCGCTCCTTTTCCACTTCTTCCCTCAGCTTGTCTACCTCGATCTTCTCGATGGCCGTCGCAAACGCTTCCCAGCTGGTTGCCGATCTTGGTGTTTGGTCGCGAAGGGAGATTGGCAGGTGGTCGCGCACTACCCATATGTTGCTGTTCAACTTCGATATGCCCGCTTCCTTTGCCATGCGTAACATCTTCCTTGCAAATGCTATGTGCGCGTGCGTTTCTACGCCCCCCACCATCGTTTTGGTTCCCAATTCGTCCAGCGTGATGCGTATCTTGCTTAGTTCCCGCTCCCACTCCTGTTTGGTTTTCTCTGCGGCTTGTGGTGCGTCAAATTCCGTTACGAACTCCTTTCTCGCGTTGGTCCACTTGGTGATTGGCGTTGTGGACGCCTGTTTCGCTTTCCACCACTTGTCGGCCGGTTTCCCTGCTAGCAGGAAGTCGCCGAATGCGTCCAATTTGTCTGCGTCGGTTGTTAGCGCCATGGTACGCATTTTGAGAGCAACGTGTCGGGCGAAGTCCTCTGCGCTAATTGAGTCTTTTCCAGGCTCCCCTGAATAGACTATGTTCGGGTCTTGGTCCACCATGGGTCGTATTCTTTGTGCTTTCGTCGGTGCTGTTGTCGGGTTTGGTGTTGTTATGGCGCTTGGGAACGGAATCGGCGCTGTTGTTGTTGGTTGCGTCGTTCATATCTCTGGGTCCGGTGTGTTGTTTCGTGAGATGAGCTCGAATGGTGTTGCTTGTCCGCTGCTTCTGAGTGTCTCCGGTGTGCTGGGTCTGCTTTCTTCCTCTTGTATCGCTTCTGTTGCTCTTCTTATGAATCTTCCGCGTACGTCCCGTGCGTGTTGGCTGCTACTGCGGTTCTTGTCTGCCACTTTTGCGTCTTTTTCCTTCTTCTCTGCGTGCTGCGTGTGTCGAGACTCGCTCTTGTCACCAGATGGACTAGTGGCCTGATGCAATGGATCGATGATGCTTGCACGTGTGTGTCTACCCTGAGCCTGTGTGATCCGCCTGAGTCACGTGCCTGTGCACGTGACCCCTACTCCAGCGAAAACTCGGCTTCTGTTTGGGAAAATCAGCGTCCACGAGCTGTGTTGGAAACGAGAACTGACGATTTGGAGTCTGGGGGGGAGTGGGGCTGTACACAAAAGGAGCACCAACGTCTGGAGGCTGGTAAATATCGTTTTGAACCTCCCAGTCCACGCCATCTGATAATATGGTCAACTTATGCCTGGACCAAAGAGACGAGATTAAATAGCACAGACCAAACAATGATCCATTGGGCATGTCTTCGTGCACACTTTCGACGGTTGTAGTCGAACCTATCCTAGCTTGAGTGCCACAAACGAGAAACATGGTTCAAATACTCACAGTCTATGCCGCTGCGATCAGTCGCTGCCGTGTCTGGGTTGCTTGGTCTAGAATCCTTGTGACAACCCTGTATCCGAACACCAGATAAAGAAGTAGCGCGGAGGGCATTGGCTTTCGCATCGGTCTCCTCTTTCTGGATCCGGAGGTTTCGACGAAGTGCGGCCTCCGCTGCAGCCTCCTCACGCAACTGAGCAATTTCTTGCTTCAGTTCATGACGACGTTTATCAATTGCAAGTTCTCCTTGCAGACGTTGGATATCAGTACGAATCTGACGTTCCCTGTCAAGGGAGACCTGATTCTGTTCTCCGATGAGCTCGATCTCAGCTCGAAGATTGTCGTAGTTGTTGAGATCGGCGTCACGTTGCGCCTGTTTTTGCAAAGTCCACTGGCGGCGCTGGAGCCCTCGCTTCTCACGGTTGTAGATGTCATTGTTGCGTTTTGGGCCGACCCCTTCGAGCTCAATCTGCAGAAGCTCTCTCACCCGGATGTTGTCTCGCTCCTCAGCACTGTAAATAGAGATAAGTAAATGAATAATTGATGGCTTCACAGTCTCACGTTTCAATTGCCCGTAAGGGACTTAGGTGGATTGAAGTCTCCGCATTTCGGGTGGCATGTGCCGACTCGACGTAGTTGGTACTGTCCGGTGTTGTATTCCAAATTCCCAAAGGAATCTTCGAGAGCGACTGGTTGATGGCGCGAAAAATGAGGGGATTACAAAGCTTATGCTCATACCAGTCTAGCAAATAAGTCAGAGAGTATTATTCGAAGTTGGAAGAGCACAAACTCTTGAGCTCAGTGACAGTTTGCGAAGACATCACGGAATTCCAGTGATCAATCTCCTCTTGAGTTTTTGCAGTCAAGATTGACTTTGCAAGCGCAATTATATTCAAGGGGATGGTTTTCGGGAGTTCGTTGATATGACTGTGGTGTATGAGTGAATGTGTCAACGCCAATATTTGATGGACATGCGCACCGTTGAAAGTGAACCGAACACATCTTGAGAGAGTAGGAGATGATCTCGGCTGGATCAGTGGTGTGGATTCCGCTGATTTCTGGCTTGTTGTAGTTGACAAGAAACATGCCGAGTCCAAGCGCTTGAGCAATGTCGCCATCAAGAACGATGACCTTGAGTTTTGCATCCGGATAGAACGGCGCCAGCTTCAGAGTTTGGCCAGTACAGCTCTCGACTGCGTCCCAAAACTCTGAAAACATCGTTTTGTATGATGCAGAATCAAGGCCGTCACCAATTACGCTGCCAAAGAGAATCCCTGCGGCATAAAATGTAAAAAAGCAGACAGAGTGCTTTGAGCAGTTCTCACTCACGAGTATTGAGTGAATTCGAAAATCCTGCAGCGTCACATTCATTCAGTTCCCCTTCGATTCGCTTGTATGCATAATCAAACATGATGGCCGTCATGTGATGGACACGTTGAGCAAGCATGGGATGCATCATAACAACGAGTCGTGAATTTTTGCTGATAACCGAGTGTATGTACCGCTCCACGGGAGGTTTCTTCTGGTCGATGGTCGTAAATCGGTTGACAACACCTTTCGACGAGTTATTAGTGACCAAATTTGTGAAAGAATGCGGGTAGACAGCTCACCCAGCCATCCCATGCCGTGCGGATAAGCTTCCCCTCGGCGCTTTGCAATTGTATCCCTTACAAGACGCTTATCTGCAAAGGCAGGACTCTCCTCGCTCACACGCTTTCCTCCATAAAGATCTCGTGTTGAAGACGCTGTGAGTTGATATGAAAGTCATCAATGAGCTACAGCCGCAAAATGAAACGAATGTAACGAACCATCCAGTAGTTTCTGAGTCGTAACAGAACCGAGTCCGGCAGCATCAATTGCAGCATTCAGCTTCTGACGATCAGCCGAACTAGGCTTTGTTCGGGGATAGATGGGGTGACTGTGCGGTTTACGAACAAAGATGATTGCTTTATTTGCTAGAGCCGGAGCCGGATTGACTGGCTCAAATATGAGCATCTCACAGGGACATTTGTGTGGAACCATTCGTCCGATCTTGATTTGGCCCTCGATCATGTGAGAATAAGCTGGTTCCAATTCAGAACATTGCAGTTAGATGAGAAGAAAACGCACCACAGTTGAGTAAACCAAAGCGTGGGTGTGCAGTGAAGCAACAGGAGTTGTGAGTAGTGGGGGAGTTTGGAAGTAACCCGTCATGATCCATGGCATAACGAAACAAGTCCTCGTTGATGTGAGGTCGAAGGCAATCAGAAATATGCTTCTGTTGTTCGTTGGCCTGAGGAGACCATGCGCTACAGCCAATAAAATACTTGTTCTGCCCAGGAATTGGCTGTAAACTAGGTAAAAAAAATTATATCCCTGTTCAATCGAAGGAGACGAACCGTTTTGTATGGGACAACCACAGCAGTACCCGAACACGAGACACCATTTACTTTTGCTTTACACTTCAGGCCTTTGACATACCGGAAGAATCTACAGCACGTCAGAGGTGTAGAACTGAATTCAAAGATCAACATTACCGAGCGATCACTGTCCACTCTGTTTCGCTCTCATGTTCGTTGGCCTCCAATACTAATGCTGAGAGCTTCTGACGTTCTGTGTCATCCACCTCGTATCTCTCGCAATTCTCGAGGAGTTGGGGATCAAGAAACTCGCACTTCCGCATTCCTCCACAGCCGAATTGTCCACAACGACAACGGACAGCTTTCCCTGGTTCTCCGGGGAACGCCAAGACGTCAGTGTCGCCTTTCAGACTCCCGCCGGATCCCTTCCCGGCCCAAGAGTCTTGATCCTATGAACATCGGCCACGAAATGAGGAACTGAGCTGCATAGAACTGTATCAAACGCACCTGCTTCCGAATATATGCCTGAATTGATTGAACAATACCTTTATCATCACGAAGCAATTCCAAAGCCTCGGACATGTCCACAAGATACGCAACTCGGTGGTCGTCTCTTGATACGTCCCAGGTGTCAGGAATGGCCTTGATGGTTCGTAACTCATGAACCCATAGCTCTCTCGAGATGGCGATCATGCCTTTGCGCTCCTCCCGTTGCGCTTTCCTTGGTTGACGCGGCATTCGGGCCAGCTTTGGACGGATAGGATTGAACCCGTCTTGAAAGGTTTCAATGTTAATATGATCAAGAATGGATGCAAACTCACTAGATTGAGCTGCATCAGGCAGCAATGAAGCAGAAAGAGGCAACTGAGATGCTGTATCTCGAGTCGTCAATTGTACATGAGGCACACAGCTCAGAAAGACATACCTTGTGAAGATTCCGAACGAATAGACATGGCACTACCAGGACGAGAGCAGTCAGAAAGCGGCGGCGGATCTAATGCCATTTTGAGACAGAGGAACAATCGATGGCGTCTACCGCTACGCATTCTCACCTTCGGAGAAAACCTCTGAACCGGCTTCAGAGCGTGTGTTTGTTGACATGGAGCTATTTGGTCGGAATAAAGGGTCCTGCTGGGACAATGTAGGTGGGAAATATCTTGACCGCTCCATTTCCAATCGAGTGAAGGTGGTGAATGGACCCGTCATCACCCAATCTTCAACGTTATCGAGGCTAAAGAACGCGTGGCTGAGCAGGTCCGGAGGTAAGATCTAGGAAAATCAGGGAACGCTATAATGAGCCATAAAACACGCACTTGTTCTCGGAATGTGATGAGATCTCGTCGCGATGGCTCCAACGGATCCATGAGTGGTACTGCGCTGTCAAACTGCAAGAACAGTTGAAATCCATGGGAGGTTATCCAGCGTTCAGGACAATCCATAGAGAGATGTGGATTGTGCGTAGCCTGAGTAACAAGCTTTGAGTGCATCTGAAGGAGTGATGTCAGACTATTTCAACCGTGGGACAAGCCACGTACGTGTTCGCGATAATCGCGAATAGTCCTCATTGGCATGGCCTCCACGGAGTCCTGGAAATTCAACATTGGGAATGCGAGGATTTATCGATTACTGCAAGCTTTATACCACGATAATTTGAAATTGCTACCCGATGGTGATGAAATTCAGTATGCCCATCAACACGCGTTCAATGGGTGTTTTTTTGCGTTATTTATTGCGTTCTTTCGAGTTCTACACAGCCGTGTTGAGAATTGCATCCTTTTCTTTATCGCATACCCTCATCATGCCAGAAGATAAAATGTCTCCAATAGGCGACAACCTTCGGGCACCGCATGTTGGCTGTGACGTCTCAAGTCCGGTCTAGTCCGATCACGCAAGATTGATGTGAGGTTGTGTTCCTGTAGGACTGGGCTTATCTCAAATCGGATTGCGATAGACCATCACGTGCTAACAACTTTCGCGGAGTAGGACTGGGCTGCCAGTCCTAGTCCTACAATTCTCGTTACTCCTCGTGGACAGGTGAGTGCTGGCACGACACCCCGTTTCGAGTTGGGAAGCTCAGGTCTGTGCCTATTTGGAATGCCGCAGAGTGCCGCTGAGGCTTCGCAAGAGTAATACACTAAGTATAGTCGTTACAAACGTCTTTGGAGGTGGGCGTCCCCTGAAGAGGTCGTGGATCTTGAATTGAAGTCACTGCATCTAACCCCCCTTAATCAGGGCCCTTGCCATATATGGTTAGGTCTAGGCTACTCTGGATAGCCACAGCCGCACACGTGTAGCCTAGACCCTTATGTCATATATTGCTACATCATGGATACCTGTCATAGCCAGACTCTGTCTACCTCCACGCGGCAATTGAACATTGATGGCGGACATGAGGTCGATGAACGATCACATCATTCTGATGAACCCGGCAACAATTAGGGAACGCTTGGACATCGTCTTCATGAGTTTGGGGACCATTAGGACTCAAAACTAAATCATCTATGGCTACCTAGAGTAGCCAGAGGGTAGCCATATGTCAGATCCAGGCATAGCCAGACCCCCCTGGCTAGCTGCGGCTACAGACCCCCTGGCTACTACCCCCTTAGATGCAGTGAGTCTACACGAGAAGCGTCCATCTCATTGGCAATGCGCACGAGTACCCGTGCTGGAGTCACCCACAACGAGGTAGTGCCGAACCAGAAACAGCCGAATTGGAGCAGTTCGTTTACGTGAATGGCTTGTCGATCTTGGCCGTGTTGTACTTACAGTCCACCTCCGTTCGTCAAGCGATATCAGATACGAGGCACATGCACAAAGTCAACGGCAACTGCCAATCTTTGGAATACGGTTCAATCATGTTCACTACTCTGACCGATGGAACCTGGGGCACTGTGAATGACTTTTCGCGGCAATGGGGCGAAATGTTTTTCTCCACAATTCGCTGCATTCCGCGATTGAAAGAGTATAGTTCTAAGTACCCGCAACGAGAGCCCGATGGATCTCAAGGTCAATCGTTCCAGAAACAAATTCAGTTTGACGGCGTGAGCTAGTGAAAGTAGTTCGTTGCGATGCCCTTCACACCGGCCCAAGCCCCGTCCAGAGCATTGACCACTTCTTGAGCTGCAAACAAAAACTTTAAATAATGGTCTCCCAGTGGTCTCAGCCACTCACGCAGCGGCCCCTTCTCAAGATCCTCTAGATTCTACGGTGCGTCACACAGTCAGAAATCAAAACCAGCCGATTTTCGGGAGATGTGCACCTGTTCGATGTGGGCGACGCTCGAAGCACCAATCAGGACCGCATCGCCAAATTCACGTTTCATCAGAGAATGATGCATGGTCCAGCGCAAGGCGACTTCAATCATTGTGAGACCGTATTTTTCTGCTGCTGATGAGATCTTATTCAGCCCGTCGAAGTACGGTTGCTGCCAGTATCGCTTGCGGTAGAGCTGAAGGGGTCAGGTACGCCGGAGTACATGGCCAGGTTTTTGGACTGGACTCACGACGCTGGTGCGACCCTCACCGTGGAAGCGGGAGGTGCTTTCCGCTTCGTCGGTAGAGTTAGAGTACCGGCCTGTGAAGAATCCGCCACCGATCGGATTGAATCCATAGAATGCAATCCCGAATTTGCGCAAACACGGGAAGAGTTCCGGTTCCACAGCGCGATGGACCGCGTTGTAAAGGCCCTGATAAACAGATGGTTTGACCCAGCCGTTGCGCTCGCAGATGCCGCAAATCTCAGCCACCTCCCATGACATGTAGTTGCTGATCCCGAACCGCTTGAACTTGCCTTCCTTGTAGAGTTCGTTAACAGCGCGCAGCGTATCTTCGTACGGGTTGTGCCGATCAGGACCGTGGAGGTACCACATCTCGAGCAAGCTGTGTTAGCGCGTGCGTCTCTTTGGTGATCGGAGTTCAGCGTTATGCAATGTTTGGCTCGCCCGATCGCCTATACAGTATCTGCCGATCGTTTGCGTTCCCTCAGTCTTACCATTACTTGGGTGTGACTGAGGGTACGCACATCCACTTACTTATCTATTTGAGAGATACTTACACTACCTTGTAGACTTACGAGATCTCGTCGTCTACAGGTGAAATAGAGTCTTACCATTACTTGGGTGTGACTGAGGACTTACGAGATCTCGTCGTCTACAGATTCGCAGTCAGACACGAGCCACAAGCAGTCCAATAATCAAGAGCACCAAACGAAAAAAAAAAAAGTGCAGCCGCAGACTCAATAAGAAATTGGCCAGCCAAAACAGAGCACTAAGAACCCCTGACCACAATGTCGGCCAATCTCCCATCCATACCCCTGCTAAACGACGACCAGAAGCTCGCAAGCGATGGATCAAACTGGGCGACCTTCAAAGAAGTCATGGTCAGCATGGCTCGAGGGCGCGGTTTAGACGGTTACCTGTTTGGAACCGTGCTCGAGCCAGCGGGATTTGTTGCGAACAACCTGGGCCCCTCCTCGCTCAACGCCACCATGCCATCCCCAGACGAGTACACCCTGCGTGACGGATGGGTTGCAGCACTTCTCTTCCAAAACATCAAGGACCCACGTGCGCACGATCTGAAGGGGACGGACCAAGCCTCGATGATATGGTCGACATTGGTCCACAAGTTCAACCGGAGTACCGAGCTCCTTGTCGGTCTGAAGATGGAGAGACTTCGCACCCTCACGCTGAAAGACCCACGTTACCTCATGACCCACATCGACGAGCTCGTGAAACGACGTGCCGAGGTCCACGACATCGGGGGAACCGTTCCCGATCCCATGATGTGCACGATCATCCTGACGTCGTTGCCAAAGGAGGAGTTTGGCACCGCGTTGATTGCCCTCCAAGTGCACTCCGTTGTCGCGCATCTAGTCCAACACCTGCGAGAATGGTGGGACTTAGTGTGGAAGAAACGGATGGAGGAAGAGGGAAATGGAGCTACCGCTAATGCGCTCGCCGTCGGAGTCAATGCCACCGGGTGCGAGAACTGTGGGGTCCGAGGACACGATCAGAGAGGGTGCTGGGCAAGGGGAGGTGGAAAAGAAGGACAGGCACCTGGGTGGTGGAAACCTCCTCGGGGAAAGGAGCCAAGTCCGGACCTTGTCAATGCCCATCGAAATGCGAAGGAGTCGCGCCGCTTCCAATCCCAGCAAGCTCCAAGTCCCACTGCAGCGTTCACAAACCCGATGACCACATATGTCTTGGCCGCGAAAACTGCGGACGATGGTACGTTGCTGCGCACGGGTGATCCACCGCAAGCATCTGACACCCCGTTCAGAACTGGACGTCGACGGGAAACTGTTACCGTTCTGAATGGGGAGGTCAGGTGGGAAGAGGAACCCGTAGCGTACGCAGCTTTGTCAGTACATGAGAGCAACAATTTGATCCCGACCTTCCTGGATTCGGGAGCATCAGAGCATTGCGTTGTCAAGCGATCGTGGTTTGTGACGTACCAGGAAGTGGAAGGGGTGGAAGGGCAAACGGCAGTCAAGGCCGGAGGTCGTTTTCAAATCAGCGGAAGGGGAGACGTCGAAATGTGTGTGCGCCTGGAGAACGGGGAGGACCGACGAATCCGGTTTAGCGCAATCCATACGCCCGATTTCGGAATGAACTTGATTTCGATTCCGATGCTGGACAAACGAGGATTCCAAGGCTCGTGGGGACAAGGCGTGCTGAACGTGATTGACCAGGAGGGGACGGTGGTGATTAGTGGGCGAATGGCACCGGAACGCAAAGGCGGGCGATCCCTATACAGCGTCCAGGTGGTCGATGATGGCAGGCTGGGCAAAGTTACGATTGCGATCGCCGGAAGGGATCGTCGACAACCAACTAGTCTGGAGAACTGGCATCGACGCATGGGGCACGCAGATATCAGGGCAATCCGGTCGTTGCGAGCGGCGAACCATGTCGACGGTCTCGATGTCACCGACAGCACTGTCAGGGGGATGTGTAACGACTGTATCCTCGGGAAGCACGATCGAACCCCATTCAATGACGAAGTGACCCACGAGAGTGAGCCACTGGAACGAGTCCACTTGGACTTGTGGGGACGAGCTCGAACGCCAAGCTGGGGCCATGCCGTATATCTGCTGCTTGTCTCGGATGGGGGCACCAGCATGAAGTTCCCGTTGTTTCTGTCAGACAAACGTCAAGAAACTGTCTTGAAGGCATTCTCGTCATGGCTCACCGAGGCTGAAGTGCAAACCGAGCGGAAGCTGAAGACCCTCCGAGTCGACCTGGGCAGCGAGTTTGATAACGACATGTTCACGGGTTTTTGCCGAGAGCGGGGGATCGTTGTCGAACGGGTTCCAAAAGCGTCGTCCGCTGCTCACGGTCACGCAGAACGGGGAAATCGCACAGTCATTGCAGGGGCACGTACGCAACTGATCGAGTCTGGGTTAGATCATCGGTTTTGGGCAGAGGCGACAGCGGCGCACTGCTATGTCCGAAGCTTCATTCCATCTGCACGGCATCCACGGTCGGTCCCATGGGTTCGCTGGTTCAGGAAGAAGAATGAGCGCGGAGAATTTGTCCGACCGAATATATTGCACCTTCGAGTGTGGGGGAGCAAGTGCTGGGTCAAAGACCTCGACAACCTGGAAGGCAAGCTGGGAGCTCAGGGTTGGGAGGGGCGTATGGTCGGTTACATGGGAAGACGCGGATACCGGATCTACGACCCAAAACGAATGAAGGTGTATGAAGTGCGCAACGTAATCTTCGAGGAAGGGGAGCCGCACCGAACCGAAGGCGTGGAACCATCGGACGAACCTGGAAACGTACTTCAGACAGAAGAAGATGAGGTAAACAAGGAGGTGGACGAACCAGGAGACGAGCCGGTGGAAAACCCCCAAGAAACAGTGACCCCGACAGGAGAGGAGCGACTCGAAGGCCGGGAGCGATCCGAAGTGAACGAACACAGTGGGCCGCCACCACTGCCGCGACGAAGCAAGCGAGTGCCAAAACCGAGTAGGCGGGGGCTCGAAAGTCTAGTGGCGCAGCAGGCAGAAGAAGAAGCGAGACGAGCTCAAGAAGACTGGGCACGGGACTCAATAAGGCCGGCGGCAAACTGGGTGGACGTCAGTGATCAAGAATTCGAGGACGCGGTGAACAGGGCGATCGTACTGGCCAGCGCGACAAAAGGAAAGCTACCACGAAGTGGGGCCGAGGCATTGAGGGAGCCGGAAATTTGGGGACCACCGATGAGAGCCGAGATGGACCAGATGAAAGCGAAAGGAGTATGGAGGCTGGTGGACTTGCCGGAGGGAGAAAGGGCGCTGGACGGAATGTGGGTTTTTGACCTGAAGATGGACGGGGCCGGGGAAGTTGTCAAAAGAAAAGCACGATGGGTGGCACGAGGGGACCAGATGATAGAGGGAAGAGATTTCGGGACGAAGTGGGCGATGGTAGCGAGGATGGAATCGGTGCGCATGGTGTTTGCGGTGGCTTCTGTGAAGGCTCTGCATGTGCGCCAATGGGATTTTTCCGGGGCTTACCTAAACGGAACGATGGACCGAGATGTGTACATGAAACAGCCGCGAGGGTTCGAAGAGAAGGGGGAGGAAGCCAAAGTATGTCTTCTCTTGCGACCGCTCTATGGGCTGGTTCAAGCAGGGCACATTTGGTACAAAACGCTGAGCGCAGGATACGGGGAACTGGGCTACCACGAGAACGCGGCGGATCCGTGCGTGAGAACGCGAAGAGTCGATGGGAAATACACGATAACAAGCACCCACACGGATGATGTGATCGGAGCGTCGTCAAGTGATCACGAAGGCACGCGGGTGGTGGACGAGTTCGCCGCAAAATGGGATCTTAAACAGGTAGATCTCAACTTACTGCTGGGTCTCACAGTGGAGAAGCTAGCCAACGGTGACATCTCGTTGTGTCAACGGCAGTACTTCGAGAAAGTACTCGACCACTTCGGCTACGCCGATCTACCTCCGCTGTCTACCCCACTCCCACCCGGCTATCAAGTCCGCGCATCTCCGAGTCCTCTGCCGACGGAAGACGCCAAATTCATGAAAGACAAACCCTTCCGACAAATCCTCGGCTCGATCATCTGGGGGAGCAGTGGTACGCGTCCCGATCTTGCATACGCGTGCTGTGCCTTGGGACACGTTCAGTCGAACCCGGGTCCGGAGCACTGGAACGTCCTGCTCGGCGTGCTACGTTACATCAAAGGGACTCTCGACTATGGCATCAAATACTCACCACACAACGGGGGCCAGGGCGGCGATCTGAAGCCTATTGGATATGTCGACTCTGATTGGGCAGGATGCGTGGATACGCGGCGGTCGACTGCGGGATACATCTTCTTTATGGGTGGAGCTCCCGTCGCATGGTCATCAAAACGGCAAGCAGTGGTGGCTTTATCGTCGACCGAGGCCGAATACATCGCGCTGGCCCGGGCTTCACAGCAGGCGATGTGGATGAAGAATTGGCTCGACGAAGTGTTCCTACCGCAAGAGATGCCATTCGACCTTCGAGGCGACAATCTGGGATCGATCAGCCTCACCGAAACGACGAAAGGGCACGGATTGGCAAAGCATATCGACATTCGATACCATTACATCCGTGATCGTGTCAGTGAGGGGGAGATCGCCGTCACGTCAATCCCGGGAAAAGAAAACGTTGCCGACATCATGACGAAGTCGCTAGGACGGGGTGATCACGAGCGGATCTGTCGCGAGTTGGGCCTGGACTGGAGGAGAGCTGAACTCCAGGGGGAGTGTTAGCGCGTGCGTCTCTTTGGTGATCGGAGTTCAGCGTTATGCAATGTTTGGCTCGCCCGATCGCCTATACAGTATCTGCCGATCGTTTGCGTTCCCTCAGTCTTACCATTACTTGGGTGTGACTGAGGGTACGCACATCCACTTACTTATCTATTTGAGAGATACTTACACTACCTTGTAGACTTACGAGATCTCGTCGTCTACAGGTGAAATAGAGTCTTACCATTACTTGGGTGTGACTGAGGACTTACGAGATCTCGTCGTCTACAAGCTGGTTAAGTGAGCCATAGCCGGCGAAGTCCCATGAACCACACGCACTCGGTTTTGAGAGCGTCCAGGGACATCTGGCAGAACTTGCGGATGTTCGCCGGCGAATGATCACCGATGAAGCTCATCTCGGGCTGGCTCAGTCAGCAGTGCATAAACGAAGAGGATTGGTAGCTTGACGAACTGAAACGGGCCAGAGCTTCGTCTCCATCAGCACCCCCTTGCTCTTCCAGTCGATCTGCCCGAGATATACTTCGTTCGTGCCATAACCGTACCAGCGTGCCGCGTCCAGCTATGGGCGGGCATGCTCATTGGAAGACAGTGAGCAGCGAGACATAACACGGACCTCGCGATGCCCATGGCTGAGGAAGATATCGATGATAGCTTCAACATCTTTGAGATCTGTGACACGCGCGTGGGATGTACCCGGGGCCGCAAATGTCATGGTGCCCTGCGCGTAGTGCATCAGAGTCGGCGCCTGCGCTGCAGTCTGAATACGACGCACCAGAACAACATTGACGGCAGTTTTTTGGCCTGGGTAAGGAGAAGTCATGGTTTTAAGACGGAGAATGTGGAAGGTGAGAGGGGTTTGGAATGAGACTGCTCTGGGTAGCGAATTTATAGAAGAGTGTGACGATGTCCAAATTCGGCCGTAGAGCAAGACGACGAAGTATTAAGAGGTCTTAACGCCACTTGCTGTCATTGGCAAATAGTCACCTGGTAGTACCACAACTGCCGCGTTGAATTTCTTCACATCCGGATCCAAATCCGCGGATGCTGATCCGTGGGTGCTTATCCGTGAGTAGGTTGTGATCTGTTGTGATCAGTTTGATGGCACGGATTACGTGAGGACCTTTTTGGCTATCCGTCATAAGGCTACATATATACGCAGAGGCATCTATGTAAGCACAAGCATACGGAGCGCGCTGAACTCTCTTCCTCAGAGATTCCAGCGAGATATCGAACTGCATCAGTGAAAGCTATGCGATAATTCACCAAGGAGTGTTCGACTGGATAGGAGGAATACAGAAACAGCGTTTGTCTGGGCTAAGTGGGCTTTCAAACGAAAGTAACAATTGGTCCATGAAATCATTTCGCGACTAACGATCAACGTCAATTCAAGTGGACATGGAGAATACTGTGCATTTAGAAGCATGGAAACGTCCAGTCCACTCCTCGAAGCGAGCACCCTCACACAGACATCGCCCGGAATCCTTGCATCTTGAGCAAATCCTGGCTCGATCCCCGCAGACGCCCCAGTTTCTCCGTCGGAGGATGGAAGAAGCGGGTGGGCCAGACGAGAGCGTACAGCGACATGGTGAGCAACAGCGGCAGCGCGTCGAGGAGGTAGAAGTACGCCTCGTGCGTCGCGATGCGTCCGTCATAGCTGGAAAGGCGCCATCAGATGGCGCTCACGGCCAGAAACAAGCAGGAAGCAAGACGAGGAGACGCACCCCCCGGCGTATTCGGCCACGCGGAACACGGACCGCGTGAGGATGCCCACGCAGGTAACGCTCATGATGAAGACAAGGATGCGCCAGTCATCGAGCGGCTCGGTCGACAGGATCGTCACCGGCGCGTAGGTCTTCGGGTTCCAGATGTGAGGGTAGTGTGTTGCGCTGGGTACGTGCGCGTTTAGCCTGATTCCGACTTCTCGAAAATCAACAGGGGAAGACGACTCACACGCGAGAGGCAAACGTGAGCACAAGGAAGGTGAACAACAGGAACGAAGCAGCTTGGAGAATGAGCCCAATCAGCCCGATCTAGATGCCGTGAGTCGTCTTAGCACTCGCAAGATCCTGGGTGTAAGCTGTGGGACGACGTACCTTAGAGCCAAGATTGGCCATGCTGGCGCTGTGCGAGGCCGTCAGACCTCCGCCCGAGCTTTGCAGGAAGAAGGTCAGAACGTCGCTCCATACGAAGATCTTGACGACACGGGTCGGTTTGATGAAGAGGCAACGGTCGACGATCTGCGGGTCGAAGGTGTTGACAAGACGAGAGAGCAGCATGTAGTCCGTGGCCAAAAAGAGGCATGGCTGTGTGAGGCGTCAGTTCGAGTTTCTGGAGGTCGCAAGGAGCCGCGTTGAGGTACCGAGAGCAAAATGAGCTGGAAAATTGTCAAGGGGCTGGTCTGCACGTTTTAGGGAGCGACACACCATGTCCCACGCGATGTATTTCCCGAGAGTGAACGGCGGCGTTGCGTACATGTACCGGAGGACGAAGCCGGCTGCCATTGCTGACAGAGCATGAGGGAAAGATTCTTCCGCCTGAACGCTGAACAAAACGCTCACCGGACATTCCGAAATTGAGACTGAGCATGAAGGGGTGTTTCGGTTTGTTCGAGAAGAATTGAGTCCAGAGCACCATCGCGGATGTCCCGTATGCGATGGCGCCAATGATCGAGAGAGATTTCTAGGCTCGCGGTCAGAGCCGTGCACTAGAGGAGAATGGCCGCTCACCTTCGGGACATATCCGCCACTGACCGACAAAAAATTCAGGCATGAGTCGATTCGTCTGGCCACTCAAGAAGATCGGGCACGCACATGGGTGTATCAGCACTGCTGTCCCGCTGGACGACTTGGAGTTCCGTGGCAAAAGCGGCCACGAAACAGGCGGCGAAGGTCAAGAGAAGAGCAAAACGAGGCATGAAGATGAAGAGAATGCGGTGCTTGATTCTAGGGCTCGTCTTTTATGAGAGAAAGACGATTCCTGATTGTCAGGTGAGTTCGCGCAAAGGAAAGCAGTGAAATCACCCAGCCACAGCCGGCGCTCACTTCATTCTGTCAACTTACGAAACTGACCGCAGTGATATCAAACTGCGCGCTGCGGCCAGGTAGTCTCAATCGAGCATCAGCACCCGTGCAGGAAGTGAATTAGCCCCCCGCAGCCAGGAGAAGCTTGGCGCACACGCCCGTCAGGAATCATTCCGGACTCACAATCACAATGGTGGACAGACAGTGGGCCTAGAACAAGGCGCTCTCTGCAGAGATCGTGCTCACACGCCGATGGTCCGAATTTACAGAGTATCTTGAAACCTGGGCCTTCTACTGCCCGTCCAGGTGCCGGCCCACGGGATCTGTTCACAGGTTGATTTGAAAGAGATTGGTCTGCAACTTTCTTTCTAGTGAGCCAGTAAATCACTGATGGTGGTATTAAAGGTTTAACCGCACCCCTTGCACGCTGTTTGGTCCACAGCTTGTGACAGAACGCGTTTTTTCCGACGCAGTTCCATCGGACATGTCACCGGAGCCAGTCACAGTGCTTGTTCGACAGGAAGAAGTCGCCTCCGTGACTGAGCTCGCTTGAGCTGTCGATAATATCTTCACGTAGGTCTTTCTCGAGTATTATTCAAAACCACCTACTACAGAGGCTGGGATTGATGGGAGGGTGGGTTCTTACGGGAGTGGCGCGGAGTTTGAAAAGAGACAGTTGATCGCGAATGACGTCTACGTGATCGAGAAACGTTATTGTTTGTTTCATGCTATCTTCTCCTCTCTGTTAGGAAATATGTTCATACATGGAAAAATCGATTTATGTTTCAAGAGAAACATACTCTCCTATTGGCCTCCGCTCTTCAGATATCCAAAAAGAAATCCCCCTCCAGGGACAGGATTGATGGCCCAGCTATGGACTGCGATGGCCCATCAATAGACCGCGATGCGTCCAGCATTCCTTGTCCCGATCCAGATCTTATGGTCTCCGCATGAAAAATGAATTGACCGTCGCGATAAGCGTCCTCTCGTATCAAGCTTTCCATTCACGCTGTCGATCATGGCTGTTACCATCCGCCCAAGGTGGCTCCATCCATCGCAAATTCGACTGGTTGGTAACCGTCCATGAAAGCACGGGAACTTTCTCTAATGAACGCATCTGAAATGCTCCAGAAAAGCAAATCAAGGCGGCTTTCTTTACCAATTTTGTGTGCGCGTACTTACGTATACGCGGGCACAAGATCATCAGTCAAGCTGGATGGTTTCTTATTGTGCACGCTGTGTGGATTGGGCCGGCTTTGGGAATTTGACACTGCAGCGAGCATTCACGCAGTTGCCCTTTCGAAAGCCTATTACTGCGCAGAAGGCGATAATCAGCCAATGATCACGTCGGAGCACAGTTTTGGCCGCTAACTGCGGTGGGGAAAGGTTCATCATGAGCCTTGTGCATGTATGGAAACCAACTGGTTGGCTCGGAGGTCCGGCTGTGTGGCATGTGAGCACGACATTGTGACAGGAGCGGGCAAAAATCCGGAGAAGTTGGTGACCTGTTGTGAAGCACGCGCTCTGCTTGGTTCCTTGTCTCCTACGGCTTCAAATTGCCAGTCCTCACATCCTACATTCTTCTGCATTTCAAACGAAGCTCTATGAAGCCCACACCCGTTTTGTGGATGACGCGGCTCACGAGATGAGCAAGACTCATCCGACTGGACACGTATTTTGACCGAACGGTGGATTGGGTTCCGGTCCAAACAGAGAGTTGGTTTCAGGTGGGTGGTTTGTGAGTCGGAAATGCCACTGCTGATGGTCAGAGGGAAGTATCACAGACTGCGCAGCCCTAGGAACAAAGCGACATACCCAAGGGATCCTGGCTTGCATCTCCCGCCTGAGACGCCTCTGGCAAGACCGCGCAGACCCAGACACTCGCTTTCCGTCGGCTGCGCGTCAACGACAGTATCGAATTTGGGACATCTGGTCTGGGCACTTTCTCAAAGATGTAGCCGACTTGTGCGCTCAAGATTTTAGGTCAAAAACGGCTCTGACCTCAATTCGTGGATTACAATACTCCATCGGCAGACCGGGGAGTCAGTTTCGTCCGCTGTGTCCCAGGTCCTGGCCTCGAAGGGCCCGGTTAAATCTGTTCAGCTCAAGCCGGGAGGCCCTCCGCCTAATCCTCTCCTTGCCATCGACCCTGGACCCAAACTCAGTAAATACGCTCCGGGCCCAATATCTGCTATCTTCTCGCCGCACATCCGACTTTGCGCCTGATCCATCTGGGCTCAACACTTCCGGCGATAATGCCTACTCACTAGGACGTGGTAACATCAAGCGCCAGCCCCATCCCACAGCCGCGGAAGCCAGTCTGTATGTCCGTCGGCGGTGGTCCCGTTGATCCAAAGCTGATTCCTGGCCTAGACGTTGCCACCGGGGAGGTCCCACGGGAGATTCGCCGATATGTCTCGACCTGGGCAACTTCCGGCGTTTATTCCACATCAGTCTACCGCGGGAGAACGACCTTTGACCAGCTACGGGGCGGCTAATATCGATCGGACAGCAAATATAGGCGTCGAACGTGGTGTGTCGTGCCGAGATGGAGCCCTATATTGGCTCGAGCGCCCCCGATTGTCGAGGGTTCCAGTCTCGCAACTCTGCGACGTACGGAACCGGGTCAACGAAGTTCGCAGCGGCGACCGACCCACGTTGCACAGTGTACAAGCGGACATGATGGGCACCTCTATGGTCTGTCCCCGATTGGAATTCGTACTGGGATACATCCGGCGGGACAAGGAACGGAATTGATTTTGCACAGATGAGAAGCATGACGTTGTTCGCTGCGGCGGCACAGATACACCCCCGACAGCGCTCTTTGTACTGGGAATCTATGGCTGTTTGTAGTGTGCTCAGATTGGGGAGACAATTGAAGAGAAACTGATGGATTTGCTGCTGTATCTGAAAGGACGCGTGTACTCCCCGGAGTCTGTAGTGGCTGCTCGGCCCCGCTGTGTGAGCAGTAACGGACCGTGTGCCGTAGCGTGCAGTGGCATGCACAAACCGATTGACGCCGCATGCTCTTCCTGGGCTAGGCCATAGACAACATATAACAACATCCGCTTGGTCAGACGGACGAAGTCGGCCAGCGAATTTGGGGGTGGGAGGGTGACTAAAAAGGGGCCGTCGCGCTTGATGAATAAGTCTGCCCGATTAGGAATGATTCATATCACCATCTTTTGATCGCCGGTGCATAGCCAGCGCGAGGGGGAAAGAGCAGCAAGCAAAAGAACTGGTAGGAATCCAAGCATGAAGACACCACGGCGGACTTGGCTCGACGACGAAAATTCAATCGAGATGCGAGCGAAGGAGGATGCGCAATGACCAAGTCTCGGAAGAGAACATCTCGTTTTTCATGTCAGCGTTTAGGAATTTCGAACATTTGATGGGATCATCTATACGCGATCGATGTCGGCAACTTGTTCTGCACTCTTTGACTGACTATGTCGACAGACCCTATGCTGACGTATGCGCCTCGCATGGATATAAAAGACGAGCTCAAAAGTACACAAAGGCCAGAAGCAAATTCACCTCCCAATTCACATCCCATCCTCAACACTTCTACCAATGTCTTTCTACTCCTCGTTCGCAGTGATCGGTGCTGGCCTTCTTGGTGGCCCCATCATAGCCGCCCTCGCCGCAGAGCCCTCCGTCAAAGTGATCCTCCTCTCCCGCAGCGCCTCCAAGACGGTTCCGGAGAACGTCCAGGTCGTCCAAGTCCCGTCGTACGACGACGTCGCAGCCGTCACCGCCGCGCTCAAGTCGCACAACGTCGAAGTGATCGTGTCCACGCTATCCACGGGAGCCATTCCCGCTCAGGCGCCGCTGGTCGATGCGGCGAAGCAAGCGGGTGTGAAGCTGTTTGTGCCGTCCGAGTTTGGCGCCCCCACAGACGGACACACCGAGCTCGAATTCGGCCAGAAGAACAAGATTGCCGGTGCGTCCAGCTCATGCTCCGATAACAGCTGTGCGCTCAAGCATCCATTCATCCAGGACAGCTCCGGAGCGTCGGCGTGCCCTATCTCCGGATCTTTGTAAGTGCTTGCGTGCTCTTGCAAGCGAGAGATACTGACGAAACATCACGCAGAACGGAGTGTTCACCGAGTTTTTGACTTGGGCCGTGAACTACGATGCCGCGGCCAAAAAGATCTACGTGATTGGTAAATCAGAGGGGATTGTCTCTGTCACATCTATCGGCGATGTTGCAGGTGCGGTATCCCTGGCTTTTACCTCATCTACACGGTGCTCAATAATCTCCCTGCAGGCTACGTCGCACATGTGCTAACGCACCTACCTCCCTCTGCCCTCGAGAACCAGACCCTGCGTATCGAAGGTGACCGCGTCCTCGGTTATCGGTCTCTGGGGCCGCTCCTTGGTGCGGAAGTCGAGACGGTCAAGACACTCGAAGGGGAGATGGCTGGCTTGAAGACGTTCTTGATGCAAATCGCTGACCAGGGTATCGCTACGACCGGCCACGGCGTCGAAGGTGTGCCCGATGAGGAGGCGTCCAAGAGCGGAAACGCGCTGTGGCCGGGACACCAGTGGAAGACTGTTAAGGATGTCCTCGGTCTGTAGTCTACAAAGTTTACCAGTCAGGATATAGACGGATGTAACTCAATTCAGGCTCAAATTCTATATCCAACTTGATACATTTCGAGCCAAAAAAAAGATGAAAACATACTGACTTGGACCAAGTGTTCAAAAAGTTTCGAATCTTTGGAACCAAAGTTTTTGTTTTGATTTATCGCGATTTTTGAGCATATCAAAGTTTAGCCGAGAGAATGAATTGAGTTTTTAACTCAATTCATAAAGCAAAGCTCAAAAAGTTATGTGATAGGTCTCTGGGTTGTTGTTGGCCCTTTTCGAGGTGATAAGACAGGTCATGGGGAAATCTTGTAGGAAGGTGTTGAGCATTTGATCCTCATATATCATTTGTGAAGAATTTTCTTCTGCCTGTGGGTTTATATCTATCCCTCCAAACAAATGAGACTATGTACCTGATGAAATGATCAGCACGAAATGATGTTGTCAATCATTCCCGATAGGGCAGTCTTACTTCATTGACCGGGAGCGCCCCCATCCAGGTCCGATTCCACCCCTCCAAATCCGGCTGGCCGACTTGGTCCGTCTGACCAAGCAGATTTCATTTCTGATGTCTATCGTACAGTCCAGAAAGAGCATGCGGCGTCGCTTGGTTTGTGCGTACCAATGCACTCCAACGGCACATGGTCCGTTACTTCTCACACAACGGTGTAGAATCCGACATACACGGGCGTCCTTTCCAAAGCAGCAATGAATCACTCGGCACCTGCTCAATCTGAGTGCACCTCAATTCGTCGAAGCGTATTGTCGTTGGCAGTGCGAGCTCCGCTCAAGAGGTACTGTTTCCTCTCAGCAAACACTTTTTCATTGATTTTAGCCAAAACAAAATATCATTCAAGGGAATAAAAAGATGAGTCTCATGTGCACAGTCGGAGGAGAATGAGTTTTGCAGCAACAAACATCTTCATGACAGTCGTCAGTGCACCACCCCACAGACCGCGGTTCAATCCCGTTCCTCGTCCCACCGCATGTCTCCTTGTACGAAACTAAATCGCAGACAGATATTCGAGTTGAGCACCATGTCCGATATCTCAGGCTTCGTGTTACTGTGAGGCGAGTCAAGGTCGTCAGTCACCGTCCTAGACAGGGTTGAATCTGATCGTGCGTCAAAGGACCGCGGGCTGTGACTCTCGACGACAGAGGATGCTAGGCTCATTGAAAACTACTTTTATCCCAACACGACATCGCCTGTTCGGCGCATATATCCCCTTCCGACTGCTGTTGGCACGGCGTGGTTAAAGATCCGTCCTCCGGTTCTCCGGTATCCTGCTCAGAAAGAAATTCAGAAAGTGGGCCAGGTCAAAGCCTCCCAACGGGCCTGCCGGATGGACACATCAGAGCCGTAAATCAGCGCAGGAGTGATGAGACTGAGACTCTAGACCGATATACAGACTGGCTGCCACGAACGCAATGGAATCGGGGCTGAGATGTTGATGGATACACGAGTGCTCTAGTAGGCATCATCGTTCTCCGCCCGGACAGACAAGAAATCGACTCCGTCGAGCAGAGAACCGAAAGGAAATGTTTAGGCCTGCATGTATTACTACGGCTGGGCAGATGGCGAGGAGAGGAATGGGTGGAGCGACACAAACTTCTCCGGATTTCTCACCGCCTTTGCCCGTCTGCATGATCTCAGGATGTCCTGTTCGCATATCACACAGCCGACCATCCGAGGGAAGCAGTTCGTACCCGAATATGCACAAGGCCCGCACCTATCGCTGCGGCAGCAGCCGGCAAGAATTGTGCTCCCACAAGGTCATTCATTTGCTGATTATCACTCTCTGCGCGAGATTCTAGGCTTTCGAAAGGGTAAATATATGGATTCTCGCTCCAATGTCAAGTTCTCAAAGCCGGCCTGATCCAGGCAACGGACACGATAAGAAACCATACCGCGTGACTGATTATCCTGTGTCCTTGTAAGTAAGTCCACATGGAATCAACAAAAATTCAACAGAGCCTTGATTTACTTGTCTAGAGAATTGCAGATGTCTTTTTCAGAGGAATTTGCGGTTGCCTTCATTGATCAAGGAGTATGGGAAGAACATTATCAAACGGCCGGATACGAATCGTTTGTTGTGCAGGTTACCAACCAGAATGAAATTTGCGGTCGATGGGGTCATCGCGGGTGGGCGGTGACGGCCATGATCGACAGGGTGCATGGAAACCTTAATGCAAGAGGAACTTGGAGAAATGTCTATAGATGCTAATCGAATCACCAATCCTGATTGCGTCGTCTTAAACGTCATGTACACACGAGGACCACAAGATATGGATCGGGTGTACCTGTATAGCCACTGTTCGTAACGCACCGCCTCAATACACCTAATCAAAACATTATGGCCTTATCGTGCTCTCCATTTCCCTTCTGTTGGACGCAAATTAGTGAAACATCGAATTCAGATTTACAATTGAGTTAGTTTCTATTTCAGGCAGAGTTTCTCCCTTGAGTGTACCCAAAAAGAAAACCACAAGAATCTCTGCTGAACGAGAAACCGCCAACGTCATTGACGGTGTATCGCCACCTTCAGACCGTGACAGCCAATCAATGAACCCTGATCCCGATACGCCAAGCTGGCGTGCCATCAGTCCGGTCCCGATCTTGTCGTTCCTCGTTAACTAGAAAGCGTTGGCTCTGCCAACATTATGCCTTGCTTGCTAATTAAATCCATATGATCAAATTTATATACAATAAAACAAGTAAAATACCAGTGCAGTTGTAACTAAGCGCCAGATGCTCTCGTCTTCTTCTTCAGGCTCTTGTCCATATCAGGCATTGCCGGCAGAAACTAGATGAGGCAAGTCAACATCATGCAGTGTACGCGCTTGTGTGCGCAATGGTGGCATGTGAAGCAGCGCTGTTAGAGAGTGACACGAGCAGAAACAAAAACAGCCCACAGGTGGGTGCACACTGCAAAAGAGAGTCATCATCATGCATGGAACTATAAATTACACTGCTTTGCCGCGCTATAATGCCAGCAACAGCAGGGAGCGTAAGTACAAAGATAAGAGTGAAGAGTGAATGAGACCATGACATACTCAAGACGAAGGTAAAATTGATCGGATCAGATGCTGGAACAGAGTCCTCTGATTGATGTCATCATTGATGGGATCTGATTGATGCACGAATTTAGGGTCTGGAGAAGCCTTGACAAGCAAGGCAACATTGCAGCGCACGAGCGCGTCGGAAGAACGCGGAACAGTGGCATCGGATCAACATGGCCATCAAAAAGGAATTATGAGTGTGGAGAGTGCCTTTTTTTTTCGTGGGACGTTTATTAAAGCGTAGAGTACTTAACATAGTTATCTACTCGTAGCCCGTCGGATTTGAGGCCGAGGATTTGCACCTAGCCAGACAAGAGAGAGAAATTTACCACGCGAGGAAATGCGCTTTGTAACCGTTTGTCACTCGCACGATGCACCCGGTGATCCGAAGTGCCTTGTGTGGGGATTCGGTTCTTTCGCATTATTCGTTTTACATGGAGTCGGCCATTCCGACTCTTCCTTTCTTTTAACCGATACCCACTAAAACCCCGCCTCTCTTGGTCCAGTCCTCTGGGAGTCGCTCCTCGTTTTGGAGCGTTTTAGCCCATGTCTTCCTGACTAGTGAGGGCTTTATTGCTTTTGCGCCGTATTTTGTTTTGTTTGTCATCTTGCAATCGATGAGCAGTCTCGTGTTAAGTGTTCTCGACCACCTGTTACTAATTTCGTTTTCTGTTGCTTCGTCTTTCTCTTGTATGACTCGTTCGCACCTCATTCTCCAGATTAGGTGGGCCGATTCAGATACAAGTATTCTGAAGAATCTTGATAGCCCGGCGTCTCCAGTGTCTATCGCACCGCAGGCCATGATCTTCCCCATATCGATGTCGAGTTCTTTCCCGGATTTCGTTCGCCATATCGCTTCTGCCAGTTGCCATACTTTCCGCTGTCCGGCTGCATTGCATTCCAGCAGGATATGCTCCATTGTTTCAATGGTCTCCCCTCCGCAATGGTGGCACTTCGCTCTCTCTTCGTGTCCTGGGATCTTTGTCCAGTGTTTTCCGACCTTGTATCCTTCGTGTATGATCATCCATAGGAAGTATCTCACACTTCTGGAGAAGTCCTTGTGCCTTGTTGCTGTCCATATCCTTGCTTTTGTCGCCGGGCCTTCTGACTCTTTGTTTAGGTCTTTGGTCGCTTCTTGCGCCGTTTCTATATTGGTGTTCGTCGCTTTACGGTCTAGTGCGTCTTGGTAGCGATCGCTCTGCATCTTGAGCTTGCGTATGATCTTATATGCGACGGATTGTGTCATGGCTTGGATCTTTGCTCCTGGGAGAATCAGTCCATCATCGACTGTTGTATCGATGATGTCGGGCTTGTCTTTTCTGCGTCCTTTGTCTGCCAGCCTGTCCGCCTCCTCGTTCCCGTGTATTCCGGAGTGTCCTTTGACCCAGGTGAGTCTTGTGCGTGCTCTGCGATTCCGGATCTTAGTTATTGTTAGTTTCATTGTTTCGCCGTTGGCTGCGAGGAGGAATCCTTGATCCTCGTTCTTTTTGAGGTCTCTGGTTAGTCCGTTGATTGTGTACATCGAGTCTGACTTAATGTGTATAGGTGCACCTGGCGGGCACATTTCCACGGTCTCTTTTACTGCTAGTAGTTCTGCTACCTGGTTGGATGGTTTGAATTCGTTTGGAATCTTTATTGCTGTGTTCCGTGCATTGTCTCCTTCAAAGAATATGCCAGATCCAGCTTCTGTTCCGTCGTTACCGTTGTTGGTGGCTGATCCGTCCGTGAATACTTCCCATTCGATTGTTTCTTCTTCTGGGTTTTCGGCTGGTTTGCGTTCTGGCGCGGTTTTGCACTTGTTCCGTTCTCCTTCCGTGAAGATGCGGAAGAGGTCTTCTATTCCTCCCGTGGTGGTCAGTCTCTGGTCAACTTCTCTGGATATGTTTTCGTCTTCCTCTTCTTTGGGGGTCATCTGGTGTTCGTAGTCCTCCGGTTGGTTCTTTCTGGGGTCCCATTTTGGGTCGAGGGTGTCTAGCATTGACTTTGCTTTCTCGTAGCATAGTCTGGGGTTGTTACATCCGGTTACGGTTCTTGTCAGCGTGCATGCGTTACAGCGGCAGTTCCTGGCTGCCTTATGTCTTGCCGTTCTTATCTTTCGTGCAAGGAGTACTGCGTCCCCCACCGTTTTCATTCGGTGTTTCTCTTTGAGGCATCTGATGACGTGTACGTTTGTTGTCCACATTTTGTTTTCGGCGTTTGATTTCTTGTGGTACCAGATTATCATCTTTTCTTGGATTTCTCTCGCGACCGCAATGGCTTCGATTCCTACTCCGAATTTCTTGCCCGTGGATGTCATCTTTGCGAGGTCTTGACCGATCTCTTTTTGTGATACTTTGTGTTTCCATTCTTGTAGGTACGAGTTTAGGCGTATTGAAGGTTCGACTTCGTTTCCGGACGATGATATCTTGTGGGCCAACATTTCGTCTGCTACGAAGCACCAGAGTGGCCTGCATTCACCCGAACTCAGGTATGTCTTTAGCCACATGACTGCGATGGCCTCATTGCGTGCTACTATATCGAATAGGTTACGTCCTCCTTCTTCGGCGGGTGCGTATACTGTTTGTTGATTAATGGTAACTCTTTCTTTTTCTGCCCATAGAAATTTTCTGACTCTTTTTTCTAGGCGTTCCTCTACTTCTTTTGGCATCCCTTGGACAGTCGCGAGGTACTGTGTCATTCCCCCGATGACCATTAGGATGATGAGTCTCCTCCCTTCCATCGAGGGGTTTCCTTGGTCCCAATGTTCGAGTGCTTTATCAATTTTCTCCAGGGTTTGTGTCCAGGAATCCACTTGTCCCACGTCGTTTCCGACCCAGGCTCCCAGGCATCTTACGGGTTCGCCCTCTTTGGCTATCTTTACGTGCCCGGGGATCATTGTGCCGTCTATCCCATTTACGAACATGTTTGCTCTAACCTTATCCCGGTGTTCTAGTGTCCCTATCGGGATCATCTCCGTCTTGTTTATATTGAATCTGGCGCCGGATGCTATGCACCATTCGTCTATGATGTCTAGTAGTGTGCCAAAGTCGTCTTCCGCATCAAGGTATACTATTGTGTCGTCCGCAAATAGAGTTGCAATTAGTCTTTCTACCTTGCTTCTTATTTTTATTCCTTTGAGGTTTGATTGACGTAGCGATTCCGCCAGTGGTTCTATGGCTAGATTGAAAAGTAAGCATGAGAGTGGGTCGCCTTGGCGTACTCCTCGAGTGACTTTGAATGGTTGTGAGCTTTTCTCGCCGTTCAGGATAACGTATGTATGCGCATCATTGTATAGTGTTTTTACTGTATTAATGAATTCATCCGGTATTCCGAAGCTCCTGAGCGCTTTCCATAAGTAGTCATGTTCAATTTTGTCGTAGGCTTTCTCTTGGTCGAGGGCTACTATCACACCGTTCCTTTCGGTCGCCTCTGCCAGTTCGATAATTCTTTTCGTGAGCCATATTTGATCTTTGATCTGTCTCCCCTTGACGAAACCGGCCTGGTTTGGGTGGATCAGATCGGGGGCGACTTCAGCGAGCTTGATTGAGAGGGCTTTCGTGAATATTTTGTAGTCTGTGTTTAGTAGCGATATGGGTCTGTAGTTGGCGATTTCTGTTTTATCATTTTTTTTATATAGGGGACACATCCAGCTCTCGGCAAATTTTGTGCCGGTGACCATTCCGTGTGATTCAATGTCGTTATATACCATTAGTAAGGCCATTATGATGTTAAAGGCGGGTTTTTCCGATTTGACAGCTGTCGTGTATCTGTCATTCAGAACTCTCCACAGCTCGTATGGGATCCCATCTAATCCAGGGGCTTTGAAGTTGGCCGACGACTTGAGTGCTCCTTGTACGTCTTCTAATGTTAGCTTCGCTTTCAGTCTTTCGTTTTGTTCTGCGTTGGTCCGTGTCTGGGTTCGGTCTAGGACGTTGGTAATTGCTGTTCCTCTCACATCCTCGTCTAGTTCTCTACGGTCCGCCTGGAGTTTATCGTGGTAGTCTCGTGCCATGTTGGCCATTTCGCATGACCTTGTTTCGTATTCCACTGGTCCGGGTCCATCCGAGAATTGGGTCGCCGGTTTCTTTAGTCTGTGGATCAAGTCCCTCGGTTTACTTGGTTTGTTTATTTTTGTCCAGTAACGTCCAATTATTTCGCCATGCAGGCGGTTTTGTATCTTTGCGCTCAATCTGTTAGAGTTGTATCTCTTTTTTTGCAGTTTGGTTATCTGCTCGATGAAAACGGTTACGTTCAAGTGTTTCTCCTCGTCTGACATTGTATTGTCTGTTGATACACTTTCTAGCTTTAGTTCCAATTCGGCGATCTCTTGGATGATTTTGGGCGTGAGCGTCTTTGCTCTTTCTCGTGCCTTCCCGCCTATCTTTGACTTGAAAGCGGCCCATAGTGTTTGGGCATTCCGGTCTCTGGTTCGTCTGTCTTCGCTTGCGGTGATTTCTTTCAGTTCTCGTTCTAGTTCCATCCCTGTTTCTTGGATGTATTCTGCCAGGACCTTGTCTTTGATTACGTGTGCTGGCCATGCCCAACGTCCTCGTCCTACTGTTGGCGCCCTTTCTGTTGTTATCTTCATCCATGTCATATCGTGGTCTGTTTCTATCCCTACTCGTTTGATTCCCCAGTCAAATGTATTGCTGAATGTGTCTCTCTTTACATAGATTCGGTCGATGCGGGAGAGGGAGCCGCCTAGGGCTGCGGGCTGCCTGAATGTATAGTCTCTAGTTTCCGGGTACGTTTCTCTCCATCCGTCGATGATTCTGAGTCGTATTTTGAGCTCGTCAAGGGCGTTTACTGTGTTGTTGTTGTCGCTGTGCGTGGGGAGTCTGTCTATTGCCCCTTCGACCATATTCATGTCCCCGATCATGGTGTCGGGTTTGCGGACTCGCGGGTTGTCGTCAAAGTATTTATTTATTTCTTCCCAGAACTTACGGTTCGCTGCGGCGTCGTTCGGGGCATATACCCCGAGTACCGAGAGTGGGCTTCCATCGGCGTGTTTTGTCTCGAGTATCATCGCTCTTCCTTGGATCACCTCCCACGTTCGGACTCCTTCTGTTGCAATCATGTTTTTGTTCATTACTACGGCTAGCCCTGCGGAGTTTGTGTTACCGGGGGCTTCTGTGAATTCCAGGTGCATCTTTCTGCCGAACAGTTTGTCGATTTCGTTTTTGCGTTCCAGATTCATGTGTGCTTCTCCGATCACCAGGATTGCGATCTTCTCTTCACGCATTATTTGCCATACGCCAAGCCATTTGTTGTCTGGGTGGTGGACGTTTGTGTTCCCGTGTCCACGTATGTTAAGTCCCGCCAGCTTCATGGCCGCTTTCATGGTTTTCTTACTTCTCTTCGAGTGTTCTTGCGTTCTTGGTTCGGGGTTGTCAGGGTTCGTTCGGTTCGTGTCACGAGTGTTACTTGGCCTTGCGTGGCCGTTTTGTATGTTATTGTCTGATGGTCTAACCTCTTCATGGTCGCCATGCGTCCTGTTGACGCTTTCGCCGGTAGCGGCCCCATGTTCATCTTGGGTTGGGGTCTCCTGTTGGGCCCGACGCGTCTGTTGTGCGTCAACACCTCTGTTGGTGTCCCCTGGTCCGCCTGCTGCGTCCAGAGTTGCGCCCCGAGGTCCATCCTCGGTTACTTGGTAGGCGCCGTTCCCGTTGGGAGTGTGGCTTCCGTCCCGAGTAGCCTCCGGACGACGGTTAGCCAATTCCCCTCCAACACGGTTTCTTTCCTCGGGTGTCTCCAGGCCGGTGGCAGAGCCTCGGACCCCTCTGGATTCCGTGGTCGTCAAAGCCCGTTCAGCCGCATGTTCATCCGTGGTGGTTTGCTCGTTTTGAGCATGTAATGAGTTATTTAATCCCTCGGTAGCGAATGTGAGATACGATCCAGACTTCGCCAATGCCTGGACCGTTATGTCTCAAGATGGAGTTGCGACGAGGTGTGCCCGTGCATATGCTGGGTATGCACGGGTTTACCTTGTGCATGTCGGGACTGCCGACCGGCGGACTCCGACCTAAATAGGTCCCGCCGTTGCGGCGCATCTCGATTGTGACCTTGGTCACCATCGAGATACGCGTTCCCTCCCCCGTTTCCCGTCCTGTACTCTTGCGAGTACAGCCGGTAGATTTGGCGGGGTCGGGTTGCGCTCCGGGTCTGCAGTGAGCGGCTTCTTCCAGGCCCAGACCTGGGGATCGTACTTTATCTTATTGTCGTTCTTTTCGGGCTGGTTAGACGGTTGCATTCTGAGTAGCGGTGTTCTTTGGGTGGGTATCATAGTCTAGTTGTTATGTTAGTTTGTGTGCGTGTTTTCTACCATCCTCTGCCTCTGTTCCAGCCTCCTCGGCTTCTTCCGTTCCATCCCCTTCTGTAGGGGGCGTATCCGCCGCGTCCTCCCCCGTGGTGGTTGGTGTTGTCTTGATTGTTACCACGTTTGTTCTTCTCGACAAGGGGGTGATCTTTCGGAAGCGCGGAGATCTGGTCCGGCGGTCCCCACCATTTGGCCCGGGTGAACGGGCAGAGGTAGGAGGGGTGGTCATCCAGTTTGCATATGACACATTCCCGGATCTTCCCCGTGAACTTGTCAACGATGGGTTTGTATTGGATGGCGTCGGTGACATAGACCTTCTTGCGGAGTAGTTCGCCGAGGGTTTCTTGTTCAGGTTCGGATCCTTTGCGTCTGTCCATGTAGATGACAATGACTGGCTTCGATTCGTGGTCCAGGTACTGGGCGTCAACGCTAAGCGCCAGAGAGTCGATGCGTTCATCACGTGGGCCTGGCTCCATCTGGGTGATTCGGTCGATTACTTGGGCGATCTCTTCGTCGGTATGCATCACCTCCCGGACTGTTCCGCGGATTTGTCCTTTCATCTCTTCCTTGTTCGTCGTTGCTGAGAGCTCCATGTACATCACGGTCCAGCTGCGCCTTTCTGCCATGGATGACGGCCAGTAGGCGATTTTGGTATTGACTGCGATGAACGGTTCCGCCAGGATCGCGGTGTGCGTGGCCGGGTCGTCGCATCTGAGGAATGCCACCATGGGGTCCGCGTATTTCCCTCCGCTTTTGCTCCCAGAGTCGAGGATTGGGGTGTAGTAGTAGATGGGTACGTTCTTTGTTATTCCAGAGAGGGAGAGTTTGACGGTTTTTTCGATCTCGTCTTTCAGGGTGTCGAAGAGGTGTTGGCCGCCCACAGCAAATACAAGTGCAATCGTCTTCCCTACCCCCCACTTCTCGATCGTCTCTCTTTGTTCTTGGGATACTCCGCGTAGCAGCCTCTCTGAGCTGATATGGTGCTCCGGGAAGGTCCCGCCTTGAATCCTCTGGAACGGGTTCTCACCGTTGGTGTTTGGTCTCGGGGCTGGACGCTCTGCGATGAGTTTCAGGTGTGGGTTTTCGTCGCGGCCCGTTGGTGTTTGGGTAGCGAACTCTTCTTTCGTCGGGCGTACGTATGTGGGGTGGGGCGTTTCGTCCGTCATCATTCTCGTTTCGCTCTCCGTTTCGCTCAGTGTTGGCGTTAGGGTTCTGGTGGGGGGTTGTGAGGGGTTTTAGGGCCGGTTCCAGTGAGGGGTGGTAGCGTGCTGGCTACGGGTTGGGTGTGGTGCGTTGCTTCTTTTCTTTTGGGGGAGAAGTTTTCCTCCTCTCGCCGGTCTCTAGGGCGTTGGAAGCCTCCTTCTGCTGTTCTGGGGGTTTTTTGTGCGGGGGTTGAGAGGTCTGCCAGGTCGTTTGAGGTGGGATTTGTGGGTGGGTGATGCATACGTGGCCTTCTGTGTTCGCGGGCCGTCGCTTATTTTCTTTGTTCCCTCGTACTATTGCCTCGGTCGTGTCTGGCTCGTTTTTCTTTCTTTTTGTGTCTATGTAGTCTCATCTCACCCCTGTTCGGGCATTTGTTATTACTGTTAGGTTTCTGTCTTTGCGACCTCCTTTTGAGTGTCGTCGGGGTTCTATTACCCTTCCCTTCTGCTTGGGTTTCCTTTTCTATCGGAATGAGTACTCCCGCTGAGTACCCTACCACCCATTGTGGTGTGGGGGGTGACTCGCGGGCTTCGTTCCAATCATCAGTCATACGACATGGTGGTGGTCGGAAGTCACGAGGCGTTGTGGAGAGTGCCTTGACAAGCAAGGCAATTTCAAACTTCGATGAACTCCAGGGAGAACCTATCCTCTATGCAAGCCACCGAAGTATGTGGCTCAAAACGCTCAGGAGAAACCTTGCTGGAAATACTACAGTCAGTGCAAACAAGCAGAGTCACCAAAGCGAGGTGGGTTTGTGATGTCGCACAAACAACACGGACTGTATCTGGCTCCGATGACATGTCCGATGGAACTACTTACGTCGGACAACACGCGCTCTGTCAAAAGCTGTGGCTCCAACGGCTTGCACAAGGTGTGTTTAAACTGTATATGCCGCGATCAGTGACTCACCAGCTTACCAGGACGCTATTGGCAAACCAATCTTCTTGATATAGGCCTGTGAGCCGATCCCGGCACCCAGGGAAGGCGGGAAAAAGCCCAGATTTCCAAGATACTCTGAGGACTCGAAGCAGCGTCCTTTGAGCGGTCGCGCTGCCATGAGCGCCCTGTGCCACCACTCGCACTGGCTTCGCGTTATCGGGATCGTTCCGAGATCATTTTTTGGACGCGCGTGCGTCCAGCTTCTCCAATCTGCGGGGTTCATTCACCGCCTGTACGGGTGCTGATACTCGATTAAGCCTGCTCTTCCGCAGCCCGCAGTTTGGTATCAGTGCGGCCGGCTCCCGTAATCTGAAGGAATGCAGTGAACGCCAGCTGCTGTGGCTGGGGTGGTGATTTGACTGCATGAGTCCTACGCGCCAACACGTCTGATCATCAAAAAAACGGCTTTTTCTCTTATAAAAGACGACTCCCAGAACCAAGCCCAGCATTATTTTCTTCTTCATGTCTCGTTTTGCCACTCTCTTGACCTTCGCCGCCTGTTTCGTGGCGGCTTTTGCCGCGGAACACCAAGTCGTTCAGCGGGACAGCAGCGCTGATACACCGATGTGCGTGGCCAATTTTCTTGAGTGGCCAGAACAATAGACTGACGCTTGATTTTTGGTCGGTCAGCGGCGGATTCATACCCAAGGTGAGCGGCCAGCTTTGCCCAGTCTACGGGTGTCTGAGCGCGAGCCCAGAAATCTCTCTCAATCATCGGCGCTATCGCATACGGGACATCCGCGGCGGTCATGTGGATCCAATTCTTCTTGAACAAACCGAAACACCCTTTTATGCTCAGCCTGAACCTCGGGATGTCCAGTGAGCGTTTCGGGGGTTGTTGAGGCGCGAGATTTGTTTTCTCATGCTCTTGTGATGTATGCAGCAATGTCAGCCGGCTTCGTCCTGCGGTACATGTACGCTACACCGCCGTTCACTCTTGGAAAATATACCGCTTGGGACATGGTATGTCCCTTCCCGCAATGTGCTGGCAGCGACCTAACAATTCTTCAGTGCATTCTGCTCTCGGTACTCTATCTCCGCCTTCCAATCCCTCAAAGACTCGAGCTGAGGCAGCCGCACACAGCCATGCCTCTTTTTGGCCACGGACTACATGCTGCTCTCTCGTCTCGTCAACACATTCGACCCTCAGATCGTCGCGCGGTGCCTCGCCATCAAACCGACCCGCGTCGTCAAGATCTTCGTATGGAGCGACGCGCTGACGTTCTTCCTGCAGGTGTCGGGTGGAGGTCTGACGTCGTCGCACAACGTCAGCCAGGCCAATCTAGGCTCTAAAGTGCGTCGTCCCATATCCAACGTGCAGAATCTTCCGACTCCTGACACGACGCACGGCATATAGATCGCGTTGATTGGGCTCATCCTCCAAGCCGTCTCGTTCCTGCTATTCACATTCCTCGTGTTCACCTTTGCCCATCATGTGTACGTCTTCCTCTATTTCTGTTCATCGTGCAGTCGGAGTCAGGCTGATCGGCCGTCCAGCGAGAGTGACTACCCCCAAATCTGGCACCCGAAGACCTCCGTGCCAGTGAGGATCCTCTCGACCGAGCCGATCGATGACTGGCGCATCCTGGTCTTTATCATGAGCGTCACCTGCGTGGGCATCCTCACGCGGTCTGTGTTCCGCATCGCCGAATTTGCCGGAGGGTGCGTGTCTCCTCCTTGTCCATTTTGCATTTCTATGGACCTGACGGCGCCGTTGCAGCTACAGCGGACGCGTCGCGACGCACGAGGGCTACTTCTATCTCCTCGACGCGCTGCCGCTGCTGCTCACGATGTCGCTGTACGCGCTCGTCTGGCCGACCCGCTTCTTCCACCCCGCGGCGGAGAAGGCGGCGCGCCTGCGGGGCTCTAGCCAAGATCTTCTCAGCATGCAAGGGTTCCGGGCCTTGTCCGCGTGAATGCACTCCTCACCGGAAATGTTTATTGCGTGGGACTGCGTAATAGTCCCTACTCATACGGAATTTCGGTACATGTCATGTATCGCGCGGCTGCTGATTAGCTACGGACTGATTTGATGGACTACTCTTTTAACCCCTTGTTACACAACTCAGACAAGCGCTGTTTCCTATTTCACTCTTTACCCATGGACAGATTCTCAATGAATTATTGTACAGCTTTCGCAGAGGCGATTTGATCGGGACCCAAGAAACTCCTCCAACGTTGAGCCGCCCGGACATCCATTCTGGCCGAGTTCTTGTGAGATCAAATCTGCGTACAGGATCTTCGTGAACAATAAGTGCAACTCATGTTGATGTCAACATTCCCGTTTCAAAGATTTGGGGAGAATGACATCCCCAAAAGCACTCAACCCCAACTCCATTTGACTCCTCACATATGCTTGAAAAAGTAATGCGTTCCACCAATTGAGTACGATGGATCCGAGAATCCGCCCCAGTCTCACGCCGGTCGCTGATTTCTTTCCACTATCGTCCCAGTTCCTGACCCTGAGGTGCTCAAGCCAACATTCTGTCCTTGGGCTGGGTGTTTTCTGGAAGGAAAAAACTCTCGGAGGGCGTTCAGCTCTGGGGCTTACTGGTGGGACTTGTGGGGTCGTATGAAATCCAATGTCGTCGAGATGAGATATCCGGGGCGCATGGTAGACCGATCAAACGCATTGGATCTTCATCAGATGGGCTCAATGAGTGCCAACCGGCAGACTGCCCTGACATTCCGTGGTTGGGAATCCAGGCCGCGCCAAAGGGATATAAAGCTTAAGGAGTCTTGTATGATGATTTCTTGAAACAATCCACACACTAGTGTTGTTCCGGGTCGGGTCGGGTCGGGTCAGAGGCAGGTCGGGTCGGGTCAGAGGTGGGTCGGGTCGAGGGATTTTGCCCGACCCGACCTGGGGGACCGGGTCGGGTCGGGTTGCGGGTCGGGTCTGGGTCGAGACCCGGGTCGGCAGGTTAAAAGATTACAAAACAATTGTATTATATCTAGTACACAGTGTTTTATACGAGCAATAATTACCTGTTGCACAATATTCTACATGTCTTCGTTATCCTCTTTCTCATCGGGTTCATCTGCAAGAGAGTCATCACATGCTTGGAATTCAGGTTAGGGTTTGGGTGGGTCATGGTTGCGGGGTTTGTCCGAAGGGTGGTGACAAAGGCGGGAACAAAAAAATCGACAGCCTGTCACATTTTCAGGCTCATGGCTGCGATCCAGAACCCCATGCTTGCGTTGCAGACTGCCGCAGACCTCCAGGGACTCACGTGTCCAATCACCTGATGTGACCCGGGTCTCGACCCGACCCCGACCCGGTCTCTGACCCGACCCGACCCACCTCTCGGGTCGGGTCGCTGCGACCCGGGTTTCGGGTCGGGTCGCGGGTCGCGACCCGACCTGGGACAACACTACCACACACCTGGAGCCACGATTTCCACAGGTGGTCTAAATTGTTCCGGATTGGGAATCGATTGATCCTCATGATCAGCAAGCGCACGTGCTCCAGCTGTTCAATCTGCCATGTGGCAGTGCAGGTCCTCTGTGATTTGAATGTCAAGGTCTGCGTCAGCGGATAGATTGCAAAGCTTCAAGCGAGGTCTGGATTTTCTTTTACCTACTCATACAATCTGCCTTCACACAAGAAGATCGGACCACAAGGGTTGCAGCGCACTCGGCCTCAGCTCGCCGGCGTCTGGCGCGTGAATGTTCCCGCAACAAAACATGCACCGACTGTCGGTAGCTACACGTCCAACAAATATCTTCTCCGGCACGCATCTTCCGTCACCATAAGCGTACTTCAATTGTTGTTGCATACAATTCATAAATAACATGGAGAAACGATCGACCTGCAGGCACAAGCTGAGCGCCGCACGGCTGGGCCATCCTCGGGATCAGAGACACTGCGAGTAATACTCTACCACACAGACAAACACACGTCAGAACATCTCATGCACAAAACCAACGGGAAGGAAACGGCTCACGGTTGACGACGGTGCACTTGTAGGGCGAGATGCTGCGGGGAAAACAGGTGGGTCAGCGCCGCCGAGTTCTTTGCGATACATCGGACGCACCAGACTGCGGGGACGGTGCCCTGCCCGCCGCACTGGCCGTATTGCGGGACCGTGCCCGGGCCGGTGGGTCCAGAGGCCGCGGCGGTGCTCGTCGCGGCGGCGGTCTACGCGCGATCAGCATGCTTCGCACGGCCCCGAAGCAGCAGTGGCGGGACTCACGCTGGTGACGGCCACGCCGGACGGGTAGAGCGGCGGACCGGGGATGGGGTATGTCGTCTGCGTCCTGGCCTGGTTCGAGTAGATGTCGATCGACACTGTGGTTCAAGTGAGTGTGTCAGTCACTGCGTCTCACTGTATCGACCGGGACGCACGTCCAGGGTCCGAGTTGCTGTATGCGCCAGGGAACGACACGAGCTGCGCCGCGGTCGGCTGGATGGGCTTGCTGCCGCCGGTGATCACGATCTGCGCGCACTCGGGGTACATTTGCTACCGAAGGAATCAGCACCCGGGCGCAATCTCGCGCAAAGGCGGCAGCAGCGATGAGGATGACTCACAGCGGGGAGGGAGTGGAGTGCGATCGTCTCGAAGCGGATGAGGTAGTTCCCGCCCGGGACCGAGGCGGGGATCGTCGTCGTCCAGGACGAGTTCTGCGCGATCATCTTGCCGGATCCCCACGTCCCGTTGAAGATCGTCCCGCTGATCAGGCCGGATTGGTCGATCTTGAACTGGGAAGGGGCGTCAGAATACTGGCGTGTTGTATCTCGAAATGTGTGTGCGGTACCCATTTGAGCGTGGAGGGATTGACTCCAGTGCATGTCGAGCCGGGGCATTGAGCAAGATACGTGAGCTAGGCGATGTCAGAACAACATATCTGTGGGCAGTCGATGAACGCACCATCGGCCCGTAGGGATGCGGCCAGGGTTGGTTCCAGAAAGCGGTGATGGCAGTACCAGCTGCGATCGGGCTCGCGGTGAGCTGGAGAGCAAGAGACGTCCCGTCATCGTTGCACGCGATCGTCGGATCCGTGGCGTTCTGGATCGGATCGCTAGGTGCGCAAGTCAGGAGCGGCTCAGCCTGGATCCCAGACGGACGACGTACTAGGTTGCCCAGGGGCGCTGGATCGTGCTCTGTCCCACCGCTGAGAGCCGCGTCAGTCTAGCCACGAAGCATGGATGATACTATTCTGAGAACCACGTACGGGTATTGTAGGCGAGGAATCCCTTGTAAGTCTGTCCGCCGATGTTGTACGAAACGACTCCGCCGTGTGCGAGGACGGAGGGCAGAGCGGCCAGGAGCGGGAGGGCAAGTTGCGAGAGCATGTCACTGGGTAGTAGTCTGCAGTCGGAGAACTGTTGAGCAGCACAGACTACAGGCCGTGCTCTTTATACGCAGTCTCCAGCAGAAACGGCAGCCCCCCCACGAGACCTTTTTGCGTCGTCATATGAACGATTGAGACTATCCGAAATGGACCCTGGCCAGTTGGGCAGTGATTGTAATTGCCTGTCGTCGATGTTTAGTAAACTGTCCAGCGGGTCCACACAGTCGCTACGCCGGATGACAGCTAGCGATGCTCTCTTCCTCGGATGTGTGCGCGGGAATCAGCGTCGACGGCAGGCTTCGCGAGCATAGATAGCATGGCAGACGTGAGCCCCCGCCTTGTCTGCGCGGCTGAACTTCGCCAGCCCAAATCCGGAAATCATCCGACTCAATGGTGTCAGAAGCGCCCGGGATCTGGCCTCCTGCTCCAAGAGACTGTCGGGTGGTTGCCAAGTCCCGTCAGCTGAGCCGCCGTCGCCATATCAAGGAGACACGCTATCACGGGAGGATGACGTCCAGACAGCCTTTCTTCGGATGCATTGCGGAATACACGTCCTTGGTCATGGCAGAATGACCTCTCCCACCGCTGCCTCGCTGGAGTGCCTGTGTGCCCTTGTGCGGCACGTGCCGAGATCCGGCATTATGATATCTGCGGAAGAAGACCAGCGAGCTGTTTGTTTTGCGTTCGAGGAAGAGAGGGCGCTCGGCCGCTCATGGGGCACTGAAGTCGGTTTCCAAGGGGGATGCAATGCCGCGAGCTCCATAACACGTAATTTAAGAAGGCCGTCGAGGGTTGCTTACGAGGACTGGAAAAAGCCACCGGCTTCTGCACAGGCAGAGATTCGACCTCAAGGCGCAGGGTCGCGGACGGTAGGGCGACCGTTTCGAGGTTTGCAGCACGTCCAGCACCTGGTGGGGTCTCGTGGTCTCTCCTAACGATGATTATCACGCTCTCGTTCACGCTCTGCTTTGCTCTCCTCTGCGAGTTCCAGTGGACCCGGCAGTGAGCCCGTGGTCAGTCGGTCGGTTTCGCAGCCTCCCGCTGCCACCCGGATGCGAGCCTGTCCGAGTGGCCGAATCGCAGAGGTCACTGATGATCGGCGCAGGTGTGGGCGCTTCCATGCGCGGGAGCAGCCGATACAGACCGAGCCCAAGGCGGCTTTACGACGACTATATGCGTGCGTGGGCGAGCAGCGAGCGCAGGGGCAATGAGAGCGTGAGGATCTGGTCGGAGGTGCGAATCGTGAATCCGGCTGTTTCCTCTCGTCGTCGTGCGTACCAAGCAGCGTGTGTGCCGGAAGGGATTCGGTTCAGCTAATCAAGCGCGCCCCCCGGGGGCTTGGTCGCGCACGCAGGAGCAAGTCCTCCGCTGTCCAAATGCCCTGCGCTCTTCCTCCGTCCAGGCCCGCCTCCTCTCATCGTGTCAGTGCATCACACGACATGGTCATTGGCCCGCGATTTCGACTGCAGTGCAAGGCTGCTGCCTAGTATGCGCAGCCTGGTTGGGTAGGATGATCAGGAGTTGGAAGGTGCGGCGGGCTTGAGAGAGACGTTATTGAGTCGATCGTCTGCATCCAGCTCAATTCCATCACATTCACGTCGTCTTTGGTTCTCCGCGTCGAAGACCATCAGCCGGGTGTTGCATAAAGGCGTCGGAATATAACAAGGTCAGCACTGCTCATGTTGTTTGTGCAATGGCAGTTGTTTTGTCCAAGCCGTGACGTGCACGTGCCTCACACTGCAGTCCACTCGACGGTACCTGTCATGCGAAGGGCTATGCAACATGTCCGGGATCCGATACTCAGAGAAACCACAATAGCCTAGCACTGTCGCCCAACTTCCCTTTGCCAGAATCCCAAACTTTGCACCTTATCCGAGCCCATGTGTCCAACGCGCGCGCCTTCACTTCCACCCGAGCTGGAGCTACGGATCTTCGAGCTCGCAGCCGACCTAGATCCCGGCACAATACCCGTGCTGCTGCGTGTCGCGCAAAGAGTGCACAGCTGGTGGGTCACCATCCCACCCGCCTCGCACACTGACGCGAGCGGCGGGATGCGCCCATAACAGGATCGAACCCAAGCTGTACTCTTCTCTGAGCATTGACCTGGTCAAGCCTGTCCTGGACACGGACCAGAAATACCAGCTTCTGAGGCAGTATCCGGCACGGGCCGAATTCTTCCACCGCGCCATCCGACATGTGGCTATCCAGACCCTGGATATGCGATTCTTCGCACAGCGGGGGGTGCATAGATGGTCTGCAGAGGAGCTCGCGACCCTGCTCCACATCTGCAGCGGAGCGACGAACGTCCTGGTCTGCGGGGGTATGCGGGATCCCGATATCCTGAGCACGATGCAGAGCGCTGGGTTTCGCGTCGAGAAGATGCTGCTCCTGGTGCCTCTCTCGGAACCGGGACTCGAATTTTCCTCTCCCGTGTTCGGGGCGCTCACCCATTTGTGCCTGTTTGACCTCGACGACTCCGCGGGCAGGTCATTGAGTGCGCATCTCCCCGAGCTGCGACGTCTCCCTGCACTAACCCATCTCGCCATCGACGCGCGAACTCCGCTCGCGACCATCGATGCGCTGTTACGCCAGGATCTGCGCGTTCTGTTGCTCTGGGACCTGGAGAGCAAGCTTGATGATGCAGTGCCGGGTCTGGGCGACCGTCGGGTCGTGGTCTGTGCTGGCCACTTCGAGTGGATAGCCGACTGGCACTCGGGCGCCTCCGGGGCCCCAGACTTCTGGGTGCTTCTTGACCGTTGGCAGCGCCATGGAACGCAAGCGTCTTCGGGCAGCAGCGAGCTGTATGAGGCATGCCATTTCTGGAGACCGGCGACGGTGACCTCGGACCTGTAGTTCGGACATGTTACACCTATGTCTAGCTGATATAACATTCTGTTTATTGTCCGACAGTAAACTTCCCTAGACGAGTCTGAAAGAGCCGTACAAGTGGGGGATTACTCGCAAATCACCGGCATAGTCCCTCAACTCTTGTCAAGTCGTCTCTCCACTCCATCAGCTCCCGGCGTTCTCCGCAGCTCCCTTCGAGGCGTACCAGTTCATCATGAGGTTTGCCAGAGAAGATGGGGGGAAATGAAGCTGATGTCGTTATGGGTGCGGGAGCTCATGAGTCGTGCATGAAGAGAGGAACGACCAGTGGCGACAAAAGACTCGTCTCCCATGCAGGTCTATCATTCCCGAGTCATCATCAATCAGGGTAGATGATCTTCGTATCGATAACTCGAGGCCCTCCTCGAAAACCCCAGCCTCCCGCTGCGCTTCAGCGCACTGGGCACCTTGTTCTCTATGGACTCGACGAACCCATCGTACAGCGCGCTGTTGTCCCCGTGGAAGTAATCAGCCATGAGATGCAGACAGCACGAAACGTCCTGCAGGTGCTCCAGCGCTTCAAGGCCCACCCACGCTAGTGGGGCTGGCGTCGCGCTATGCACCAGCGCAGCATCCAGAACATGGTCCCAAGCGACTTCGGGTATCGTCGGCATGATCTGGAAAACCAGCACGAGCCGCTCGAGCCGCGGTGAAAGTCCACGAAGCCTGGAGATGATGCCGGAAATGTTCTCTGGAAAGACTCTCGATATGCCCAGATTGAATGTGACCTCCAGGGTGCGTAGTAGAGGCATAGCGGGAAAGGGGATATTGCTTCGTATGGCTACAAAGTGTGAGATGAGAATGCATGGGAGGGTGGAACCGCACTTCGAAGATTAAGCTCTAATTGATCGAGTTGAGCGCCTAGAGGCTCCAGTACGGCGAGGTGAGTGTCATCCAGCGATGAATTCACGCCCAGAGAAAGCCTCCTCAGGCTCGGAAACTCGTCCCGTAAGAACCAGGTCCGGAAGAACTGCTCATGGTGATAGACGGTGCTTCCCAAGGGAAGTATGAGGTACTCGAGCCTGCTCTGTCTCCTTTCTTCGCCGACCGACTCGATGTGCAGAAAGACCTCGCTAAGCGAAAGAATTTCGACGTTGTTTGCGATCTCCTCCAGAGCTGCGACCGGGAAGTTGGTCATCTTGGCCAGGTGCAGCTTCTCCAACGACCCCATCGCGAAGAACAGACCCATCTCATCCCGCACGACGCGCGGCAGGGAAGACCAGTCGCATCCCCTCCTCGTCGTTATGACGCAGCGTATGACCGAACCAGCTTCTCTCAGCGCGCGCACGATGTTGTAGAATGCACGCGTTTCGGACGTGACTTTAGGGAGCGGCGTCTTCAGGCTCCGCACACAAAAAGAGATTCTCGGAGACACTTCAAGAAGTGAGGCCAGCCGGGCAAAGGTGTTGCGGAAGCCAGAAGCAGCGTCCTGGACGACTAGCGTACGGAAGATCCGGCGCTGGCAGATGGCTCGGAAGGAACGGGCAGACGAAGCGAGTGAATTCAGCGACGGGCCCGAGTCATCGACGTATGCGAGGATAAGTTCAATCAATTCTAGCGGCAGCGCAGCCTGCATGACTAGACGGGAGAGGGTAAGTAAACACGGATGAGTATCTCGTCTGAGAACATACGGTCCCGGGCCGGCTTTGATGCGGATCGATTGCAGCCCTACGATTTCAAACTGACATTTGATCTACCACCTCTCTTCACCCGCGACTTCGGTTTTACAGAATTCACAGCCTTCCAGGCCCCATATGCATACAGTGTACACTACTATCTAAATACCCGTCACATCCTCCCAAACCGCCCGTCCGACTTCTTCACGGCCTCGTACACATGGAACGTCCGGACATGCGTCGGCTCCGCGCGCGCGTACGACGGCGGCGCGCCATTTTTGCTCCATCCGACGGGCCCCGCGCGTTGGCTGCCCGCTGCGATGCTGTTCATCGACTTCATGCGCGGGAGGACGCCTGCCGACGACCGCGGGGAGACGGACAGCGACGACTGGGAGGACAGCTCGTAGCGCGAGCTCAGCTCGCTCTGGTACTCGCGCATGGCGTCCAGTGCATCGCTCGCGACGGACCAAATCGAGTCCCGCACGCTGGCCGTGTCGTTGACGGCTGTGAATTCGGGCGGGGTTGGCAGCTGTGGTGGTGGGTTGAAGCGGTCGTGCAGGAAGCTGTCCGGGTCGCGTTGGTATAGCAGCACCTCGAGTATAGTTGGGAACTCACTTTTGATAGTCCCACAGCGCTTCTTTTGCGGCGTCGCTCTGTGTACGTCCTTCGCCGATCTCCGCAATCTCCGCCGCGTAGTCAATCAGTCCCGCCTTGCACGAAAGCAGCACCCGCTGGTGCTTGGACGCGTGGATCTCCAACTCCTCAGGCGTCATCGGGATGAATGTCGACGGCCAGAGGATCAGCCCCGGGGAATTGGCCAGCGCGTCGTCAGCGTCGTGCTCGTCCGCCACGGGGGCCAACGTCAAATGCATGGCCGTGACCTCCTTCACGCCACCGAAGGCGCGCACTATCTTCTCGAGCACGAACTCGCTCGGCCGGAGGTGGATACCGAACTTGACGTTGATCATGCTCTCGAAGAGGTCCTCGAGCTCTCGTGCGCCGGCGGCCTGGTCGTCCCAAACGCCGTCCATGGGGACATGCGAAATGGTGTCCGTATCGGAGCTCTCCTCGTCCATACTGTAGATGATGCTGTCCCCGTCGTCGCCTTGTCGCCCCATCACATTCGCCAGGCTCATGCGCGAGAACGCTGTCGAGGGAATGTTTGTGTCCAGATGCGGGGGGCGGGCGGTGAGGATTGCCGGCTGGCCGTACGGGAAGAGGATCTGGTCGTCGATGAACTCGAGTCTTCCCCCGACACTCAGCACACGCCAGACTTGGTTCAGCACGAACTCCCATCGCTCGTGCGGAATGCACAGCGCCAGATTAGCCATCCGGACGAGCTGGAACGTGCCGTCGGGGAAGGGGAGGGCTTGTTTAATACTGTCGAACGGTCACGGTAAGCGTTGGAACAAGGTCTGCGTACTGCACCCACAAGTTTCCCTTTACGAATCTCATGTTGTTTGTTAGTCCCTGCCTTTGCGCCAGAGGCCACAACGCTCTTGTCGTATCAGCCATGTCGAAACCGACGATCTGTGTTCCGGCAGACCGCCAGGCGGCAGCTGCGTGGAGCATCCAATGCCCCGCGCCGCATCCCAGATCGAGCACCTGATTTGGTGGTTGATCCTGGTAGTTATGGAAAGAGGGAGTGTTGCTGGGATTGATTCTTCGTAGGAGTTCACACGTTTGGCGGTCCCTGCGATGAGAAGTGAGTGTCGTTGATTTCTGTCCACGACCGCGGCAACTCACGTCTCAATCAGGGCAGCGTCGTAGGCATCCAGCGGATACGAGCCGACCATGGACACAATGTGCGAAGGCGGAAACATAGATTCGGTGACCGACTCGGTGGGCGATGTTGGCTCTACGGACGGCGACGTCGGTTCGATGGCGAAGACCGGTTCCGGCGACGGACTGCGGACGACTACAGCCACCGGTGGCGGAGGGTCCCCCGTCTTCTTCCGGCCCAGCGCCACCCCGAAAAGCCCCGTCTTCCCGCCCGCCTCGTCTTTCTTCTTTCTGAATCGAATAGGCGCCGAGGATTTCGGATGAGCGCGGGTCCGGCCACCGGGGAACACGAAAGGCTCCGGTGTGCTCTGGTTGTTGCTACTCGACCGCGAGCTGCGGATGCTGCCGCTGCCGCTCCCAGTCGAGCCAGAGGCGGGAACACTGCGGATGCTGGCTGTGGGAGACAC